TTATTTATCAACTTCATTCATTTACCAATAATAACAACATCTAATTGGTTAAAATTAATTCAATCATGATCCAGTTGAAATACAGAGGATAATGCCGAGCAAGTCTTACTTACAATCCGGAGGAAGATCATCCGTCGCCAAGTCCAAGGTTGCTCATGCAGACATCGCAGGTGTACTGCGTGGAGCGAGTCTTCGAAGACTTGAAGAAGCCATTTGTGGTCAAGGATGTCATCCGCCAGTTGATCCATTTGGATTCGGTCGTCACGGATGTGTTTTCGCGCATTGGCAACAAGGTACAGTGAACGCCCGTGGCAAGGGCACTTCACGTACGCGTTTTTCGTGCATCTTCCAGGTCCAAGCGGAAAAAGATCGTGTCGAGGCTATCGACAAGGTATTGTGAGGAGTAGCGTCTGATCGCTGAGGCTGGACTTACCTGTAGAGGATCGCCGACTGCCAAAACAAGGTCACTGCCATCATCGGTACGATCGAATTCGTGTGTTCGGTGGTCTCATACACTCCCCATTCGTATAGAGCGCGGCATCTCGAATAGGCCCACCACTGTGTTTTCCACTGCCAAGTATCCCGCTCCTCAAGGTACCATGTCGCTTATTTCAGGGCTCGACTTTAACACCGTCGGGATTGTCAATGATGGTAGTCTTACCAGCAATGAAAAGTCTCTACTGTGATAAACCGTACGAAGAGAATCCGCCGCTCGCGGTGTCCGACTCGGCCGTCCATTTCCTGCCAGCAGAAGCGCCGACGCCTGGCCAGCGAGCTCAGCTCATGGCCGAAGTCCTCGACCTCTTCGAACGCGTCAACCCTGCTGTCGAGACGTGCCGCGCAGAAATAAACATGGCCAAGGTACAGGAAGAACCAGTACACCCAACAGAGTGGCAGCGACTCAACTTCCCATCGTTCTGGCGTCGGTTAGGAGGGCCTGGGGCCACTGCCAGACAACGTGCCATCCATTGGAAGCGTGCTGCTCTTCAATTCTGGCGAAAATCCATACCAACAGGTTCGCGTCATGTACAGCTCATGTTTGATGCCATTCTAGTACACGTCGTGGGACAACTTGCTTGGCGTGGAAGTGGCGGAAGAAGAGGAGAAAAAGAAAGTGCTTGCGGCGGCGCCCGATTCCGTCATGAACGGCGGGGACGGCTTCGATGGCACGATCGACAAGGGCCTGTTCAAACCGTCATTTGTCATGTACGACAAGGGCCAATTCCCCGACGTTTTGCCAGGGCTCAAGGGTGTCGCGGTCGAGTACAAGTATGAAAACCAGGGAACGACGTCGATTGCGCCGTCGATGTTTCAAGACTCGGGACTGCCGGACCTTCCGCAAATCGCCGAGTTTGCCGCTGGCCCGACGGCATTGCAGCCCCACACGGGGGGCATCGTGTTGGGTCCAACTGATGTCGCGCCGCCCCCGCCGCCACCACCTCCGCCGTCCTTCGACGGCATGGTCCCGCCACCACCGCCGCCGCCGCCAACCCTCGATGGTACGTTCGAACACGACTCATCTCATGGAACTAGTGCATCACTTCATTGTAGATGCAGGACGACCTCTACCTCCGCCGCCCCCACCGCCGATGGCCGATCCAAACCAGCCTCCCCCCCCACCCCCTCCCGCACCGGCCGGCGGCGATCCGGTCGATGGTCCGCCGCCGCCGCCTGAGCCAGCCAACCCCCGTGCCAGTTTGTTGGACGCGATTCGAAATGCTGGGATGAGCAAATTACGCAAGGTGGGGTCACGAATCCATCGACCGTCATGCGAGGTAATCTGTCTCGTCATGCATGGCGATTAGGTTGCCGATGGACGAGACGTGAAAAAGGCAGCAGTGCATGAGGTACAGCGACTTCGACGTGCTGGTTTATCGACGTCGGGCGTCCGTGCGTAGGAGGAGAAGCCTCCGTTGACGCTTGCAGATGAAATCGCCGAGCGCATGCGTCGTCGCCAAAATGCCCTGAGTGGCAAGCAAGATCGAATGGAACAGGACCGGGATCGAAAACAGTTTGTAAAACCCGTCGTTGTCCTCAAGGCGGTGGACGTCGCGCCTCCGCCAGACACGCCGCGCAGCTTTCAACCCCCGCCACCGCCTCTGGCAGACTACCCAGGTGACAACAAGGCGCTGCCCACGGTGGACATATCTGACGACGGGAGCAACGACGGGTCCGATGGAGCGGCGTCCAACTATGGCGACGAGGTGCTTGCCTCTTGCGTTGCCACGTGGACACGTGCCGACAATGTACATGTGGTAGAACGATGTGTTGACGCAGATCAAGAATTTGAAAAACAAACAAAAGGCACCGACGACCGACTCGCCGAAAACGACAGCTCCTTCCCCTCCAGCAGCATCCTCTGACCCGGTACTTGACTACGCTACCCCGGCGAGATGATGATGTGTGGCATTAGGTGGCCCAAGGTTTTGAACAGGTGAACTACTCACCGAGACGTTCAGGACGACTCGATGGATGTCATGTTGATGGGTTGCTGCTAACCTCCGGTGTGGTTGTGATGCTCTTAGCGCATGCGCGGCCTCGACGTGGTCACCAACCGCGGCCGGTCCGATTCACTCGGGATGTCGGAACCGTCCGATTGGTCTGACGAAGATTAGCGACATGAATCAGTACGACTTGCGCAGCTTGGCGGGGGAATTGCCGCCGCTCCCGACCGCCGACGTCGCGCGACGCGGGCTGTCGCTCCGCGCCAAGTCTTGGCCGGGCTCGAGCTGCACGACGTAGGTTTGGATGTTGGGCTTGATGTCACAGTGGTAATGGCATTGTATCCCAAGTTCGTCGAGTTCCGCCTTCACGGCGGCCGTCACGACCACCTTCCCCGGTACGCCGTTGCTTTCAACTTCGTTGGCCGTGAGCGCATCCGGACCCCACATGTCGTACCGCAGCGTCGTGTTCCCGATGACGCCGCCGTAGATGCTGCCCAAGTGGATGCCAATGCGCATTTGCAGCGGTTCGTTTGTGTTGGGGTCGTGCACCTAGGTGCAGGTCACGGTCAACTTGCCACACGGCCAACACACAGAGTCGCACTTTGGACACTTGATGGATCATGTCAAGGGCGAGGTGCACGAGATTTTGGAGGTGTTGATCCACGCGGACGCACGGCGTCTTTGTCGTTCGCTTCCGCGCTTGATCGAGCTGCTCGATTTCCTGAATCGCGGCGTCCGGGTTGGTGTCCTGGCGCAGGAGCTTGGGAATCCCGTCTTTGCCGGCTTCGACGACGGGGACGGTCGCATCGACGTAGGGCAGGCCCGAAACGACCACGTACGCGTCGCCGATGGTTTGCAGCTTGAAAACGTTGTGTTTTTCCGTGAGTGCGTCGAACGCGGCGAAGATCGCGTCGAGCATGTGAATCACTTGCTCCGTGTTGGCCTTGGACGCAATCGACGTGTACCCCTTGATGTCCGAGTACAAGATGCCGACCTACAACTGCAATCGGCGCCTGCCTACCCATGGTGCGCTCTCACCATCAAGTGCTCGTCGCACACTACTTCGCCGCGCTTCATGCGGTGGACGACAGCTTCGGGCAACCGCTGGTACAGCAGCTCATCGGCCTTTTTCGTCTCGAGCTGCGTTCGACGTTGCAGCCACAGCACGCGACGGTTGAAAAACTCGATGCGCCTCGAGATCGTCACGTTGGCAATCGCGGTGCACGAGGTCAGGATGATCGGATGCATGGACTCGGACGAATTGTCGCAACGGTACGACAGCACAAACACAAGGACGCTGACGATCCACATCGCCAGATTGTACCAGATCGCCGTGCGATGCACGACCGCCCCGCTGTTCGACACGGCAAACATGACCAGGGCAATGTCGAGGGCGAGCATGTCGCCCTGCTTGTCGACGCCGCAGGTCTGGACGGCCAAGATATGGTAAACGGCCATAGTCACCATCGCAGCAGAGGCCACGACGCAGGGACGAGCTAGCACACTCGCTGGCCGCCACCAAAACATCCCGGCCGTGAACACCACCATGGCCGCTCGCGACAAAATGCCAAAGGCAAGAATGGCCGTGGAGATTCGAGCGTCGTTGAAACCGAGCACGATGTCCCGGACAAGGGCAAACCCCATGTATAGCCCAAGCGCGTACGTCGTGTACGTTGCAGCCGTGTCCCGGGCGACTGCCGTGGATTTGATGTAAGCTGCTTCCATGCCGTCCTGGACAAAATGCAGCCACAGCCAGTGGACATTGGCCTTCATCGCAACATCGTGGCGATCGGTTCCTGTCCCATTCGACGGCGGTGGCTGGTCTCGTCGCGGCCGGACCAGCTCTCGCAAGATGTCCGACATGGGCGCCCCCAATAAATACGTCGTCATCGACCCCTTTCCTTTGACTTCAACTTGTCTCGATTCAAACGAGAACGACGCTTTGAGGTGGTGGTGCGTGGCTTCCGACACTTGGACAGCACCGACGACTCCTGTGCTCTGCATGCGCGACGCTGTGTTGACCGTGTCACCAAAGAGGGAAAATTGCTGCTTCTTTCGCCCGACGAGCCCACTGAGCACGCGTCCGCTGTTGAGCCCAATGCGAAGCGGGATGGTTGTTCCGCGGGGTGTCCGACATGTTGCCATGAGGCGGATCATTTCTTGTGCTAGACTGGCGGCACGAAGCGCCGCCATTTGGCCGCCGACTCCCCCGGACTGCATCCCTGCGCACGCCATGTACGTTTTTCCGACCGTCTCCATCTTTTGCACTCCGAACCGCACGCACATCTACAGGACGACCGATGAGAATGACTCCTCGTCGTGGAAGGCAACCTCGTCAAAGAGCGAGTAAATGTGGTCCAGCAGCGCCACGACTTCGGCGGGAGCATGATCACGCATGAACGCGTGGAGGTCGACGATGTCGCAAAAGAGCACCGTCACGTCTGGCTCTTCCTCGGAGATGATGGCATCGCCGGCCTTGAGCTTTGCCATCACGTGGGGCGGAAACATGTTGCGCAGGATGTGCACCGCGCGAAACTCTTCCATCGCGAGCGCCCGGTGTTGCAAAAAGTCGACGCGCATCGCGTATTGCATGCGCCAGCACCCGTGTGCCGCCAGCCCCACGACCAGCGCGATGTAGCACGTGAACGCGCCGAGTTCGGTGGCCGATAGTACCGAGTCGTCGCCGAACACTTGGAGGACGAGGTAGATCGCAAAGTTGACCAGCACGACGATCAACGCCGCCGTGAAGCGCACGTGCAGCATGGTCAGCACCACAATAGGAAACAACACGGCCGATACATACCCCGTCACTGTTATCGTGGCCGAGATGACGACGCCCGTGACGGCCATCGGCACGAGAATGGCCACGTGATAGTGCTTGGCAAACATGGACGTGCGTGTCGCCTGGGCGTAGGCCAGCGCCAACACCACGATGGTAAGCCGCGATACCAAGAATGGCGTCATGAATCGTCCTTGGGTGGGTGCCACTGCCTGTCGAACACTCGCCACGTGGGCTGGTGCATCGACTCGACCAAGCGGCAGCTGCTGAGTGTCGGGGTGGGCTGCAACTGATGTGACAAAGTATTCGACCAGCAAACTGACCAGCATCAGGCACGCTGCCACGTACACGTACACGCGAACGCGACGGAGTTCGTGGTGGACAGCGCTTGCGTCAAACTCACGTTCGAGAGCCACTCGTTGCTTGCCGACGAATTCCATTTTCGTCGGGTGCATCTTGGTGTCGGTGGCGGCAAGGACGTTGTCTTCGGGGTCGGCTCGATGGGTGGCGTGCAAACGTTGCAGCAGGGCAATGAGAATCGCGCATTCGGAAGGGGGTGCGACGACGGGTTGCGACGTCATTGGAGCTTCCTCGGGTGGAGGGAAGGGAGATGCTGGCCAATTCGGGCTGGTGGACTCTGTCGCGGGGGTGTCGGGGGCGAGAACTATGGGCGCGGGAGTGTCGGGGCATGGAGCCACGGCTTGCGTTTTCGTCCCTGATCGACGGGGCCTCGTGCTGCCCAAGCAGCTATCGATTTCTTGGAGAACATGGCGGTTCGAGTAAAAGTACAAACGTTGGAAGCCAAAGAACGCGACATCCGGGAGCACACTTGCGGGGACGACGACGAAAACGACGAGAAAGAGCGTCGGCGCGTCGGAAACCATGACCTCGCCGACACCAGCTATGTCTCGCGCCACATGCAAGCCAGGCCATGGGCCATACCGATGCGAGAAGATCGCCACAAAAAGCACAAACAATACAGGGCCCAGCATCAACGACGCAACGTGAACCGGCTGCCAACGATGCCATCGATGCATGGTCATGGCAGCCTTGACCGTGGCGGCCAAGAGGTGGGCGGCGAAGACGACCGTGCCGACGTAAACGACCCCTCCTGCCTCCAGTGCACTCGACCGAATTGATTTCGCCACGGTGTACAAGATAATGGACGAATGCAGCGCGGCCGACGCGACCCAGAGCAACACTTTGCGCGCATTGATGGGCTCCATCTCTTGGTAGATGGCAGGATAGGCCAGGATCGTCGGCGCCGTGATATCTTGGTCCACCACGCCAACAACAAGGACAGGGGCAAGCGTGTACACAACGGTCCACCCGACGATCAAGTATGAATCGAACAGGGACTGGCCGGAAAACCCCGTGAAGAACGAAAAGAGCCCGAGCGTCGTGGTGAGGGCGATGCCCTTGTACAGCGTGAAGAGGACGACGTGCATGATGCGGCGGTGGTTCCACCGACCGTGCAGGAGCAGCAATCGTAACAAAAGCTGAAAGCGCGCAATCGCGACATCGGACGCGCGCGCAGCGAGCAAGCCAGCATTCCCGTACAGCCCGACGCCGATGTGCGCAGTGTGAATCATTGGCACATCGTTCCCGCCGTCCCCGATGGCCAACGTCACGTTGCGAGGATGGTGAAGCTTGACCAGCTCGACCAACGATGCTTTTTGCACCGGAGACAGTCGACACGCTATCACAGACCTAGCTTGGACAATCAAGTCCATGAGATGGCCCGTCGGAATCTCGTTCGGAGCGGACAAGATCGCCTCCAACGCAAACCCATTCAGCACGATAGCGATGGTCGGGATCACCGTCGCAGGATTCCACAACCCTTGCTTTTTTAGCGCCCGACGATGTTGCGTGATCTGGTCGAGGCATTCGTCGGCCGTGGTTCCATCCACGGACAGCACGTGCTGTTGCTGCAGAGGTCCGTTGGGAGTTTCGTCAGGACGTGGGTTGGAATGGGTGGTCAGGAGGCCACAGGAGTGCCCCACAGCCACCGCAGTTTCATCCTTGTCCCCCGTGACCATCCAAATACGCATCCCAGCTCGAAACAACATGGACAGGCAGTCGGCGACGCCGATTTGCAGCCGATCTTCGACCCCCGTCGCTCCAAGGATTGAAATCGGAGTGCCCCCATCGAGCCCACGTACCAGCACGTCCTTGCCGCTGTCGGGGCAATCGCCCGATGCTCTTCGCTTGGCGGCGTCCGTGAGTGAAGCCACATCCATGCCGTCCACTGTTCGGGACGCAAATACGAGGGTGCGAAGTCCGGAGCTTGCAAACTCGTGCACGTTGTGCGCAATGGCCTTTGTCGTGTCGTCTGGTGGTGCCAACGGCATCAGCGCACTGTCCGCTCCTTTGAAAAATACAATTGCAGCATCTACGCGCGTCGCGATGGTATCGATCATGTCAGAGTTTGCGTGGCACATGGTGTACCTTCGCCATCACGCTGGACCAAGACCGACATACAACGGCGGACACTGTCGAATGGAATCGTGGCCAGAACAGAGTACGTTTCGACGTCGCCAAAGATGAAAATGTCGACGACGTTGCTGTGGGGAAGGCGCCGGCGAAACCTGCAGTTCAATCGAGCGAACCCGACCAGCATTGCCATTTCGTCCGGACATGAGGCGTCGAGTTGCTCGCCCTGGTGCGTCGCCGAGTGGCACAGCAGGACGCATCGCACAAAGGCCCGACTCGCGGCAGTGTTGGGAAGGTGGGGCGACGGTGCGCTCTACGAGAAAACGTACGATTCATGAGCGGAAAGGAATTGTATCGGTGACGAACATGGTCCACAATCATCCCGGCGATACTCGTCTTTCGTAGCACCATCTCGTTGGCGGTGAGGGTGCCTGTTTTGTCGGCGAAGATAAAGTTGACTAGGCCAAGGTGTTCGTTGAGGTCGGAGGTCATTGCGCTGGCAGGGCGCACTGTCGTTGGACAGCGCAAGGACCTGTCTCGTTCGATTTGCTTGGTTTGGAGCCACTTGACCAGTTCCAGTGTCGAGTACAACGAGATCGGGACCTGGATAAAGTGGTCATCCATCGTGCGAGAAAAGGACCTGGTGCCTACGTTCGTACCAGGTGGCTGTATAAGATGAGGTAGGTTATCCACAGCGTGGCAAACTCCATCGTCGCCCCGCTGCCAACGTCGCCGACGAATGGAGCGCGCACTGCTTTGTGTGGCTGCACAAAGTCCTCTCCGGCTGCCGCACTTGCGGTGACGACAATCAACAACAACCCGATCATGACGCAGATGTATCGGTTCGCGACCCGATCGATCTGGGATACGTTGGCCATGGGGCGACGAAATGTCTGCAGCAACTTGGTGTCGTGGCCAGCCGCCAGGACGATACCAACTACCCATTTCGTGTGTCGCAATGTCGTGCCTCGGAGGAGAACATTATCGATGGTGAACATGGTTTCTGTGTCCTTGCTGCTTTCCGACGAGACATTCACAACGCTTCCGGTCATGCGATCGAGCGCTGGATTGGGGGGGTCGCATGAGATTTGCCAACCGTGGAAAGTCTCTAGCGCGATGGATGGAGCAATGCTGGTCGACGGTCCTTCAAGGCACAACTTCCTCTTGGGCAGACATGCCCCGTCCAGACTTGATGTCTCGACGAACGCGGATTGTGCAGACTCGATCGAGGTGTCATCGCTAGTGCTGCTGCCACCGGAGACCATGAGGAGGAGATCTGCAGGCAAGTCCTCGCCGTCGTTCACCCTGACAATGTCCCCCACCTCAAGTGACTGCCATGCCACTGGCACGAACGTGGTGTCGACGAGGCGATGGGTGGTCGATCGATTGACCGCGGTGTCTGCTACGTGGCGCTTGTAGTCGTCGACGGCTTCTCTGACCAATGTGATAACGAGCACGACACCAAGTGGTAGCACTGTCGAGCTCGGGTGTGTCGGCGACAGCGACGTCGTGAGCTGGAGGACAGCAATGGCGAGGAAGAATACGTTCGCGACCCGCCGAAACTGCTCCAAGAGGATGCATGGCAGAAAAGTGAGGGCTGTGTACTTGGAGGTGCGTACAATATTGGTGGGGTACGGCGCCACGTGGTGGTGCACACGATGCGTTTGTACGCGTCGGCGGTCGTGGACAAAGAAGACTCGATTCGACTCCGACGGACTGGACAAGAGCCTCTCCAAGTTCTTCTTGAGGACGGGCCGCTCGACGTTCGCCATCCGAGTGCACAACTTGCTCACGGAAGTGCAAAGAGATCCAACAACGTCCGTTACACTTATTCGACGCTACAGCCCACACAGTCACGTTTTCAAGGCTGTGCAGAACTTGCCACTGGGTCGTGGGTATGGAAGCCACTACTACGATTTGCTTTGTTGGTCTAGCTGTAAAGCCAGCTCAACTGGCGCGAGGTGGCACACGTCGATGCCTCGGTAGCACTGCAGAACGGAGACAACATGCCGTTGGGTATTTCAAACACAACATTGTTTGATTTGCATGGGCTCCACGAGGTTTTAGAATAAAACGTTTGGAAAACTGAGAACTCTGGGGGTTCTATTCCCACGTTTAATACGATGCGATTAAAACGTGATATTTAAAAACACGAGACATGTGAAATATTCTAGGAGGTTATAGGCACGGGGGGCGACTTCGTCGGTTGGTCGCCATGCCGCCGCTGTGCCCCGACAGAGACCACCTCCTGTCGCAGCTTCCGGACACGCTTGTCGTGAACACCGTAGTGAATCTCCATAATGTAACTCGCCGCCGCGAGAGCTTCCTCGCCATCCTCGGCGTTGGCGTGCGGGACTCCACTGAGCAAGTAGCGACCTTGTGCAACCATTGCGTCGGCTGTTTCGAGGCTGAACTCACCGTAGCCAATCTCGGCAGCTTCAACCATGTTGCGGTAGATCTGTGGGGTGGCTGTATTGGTGTCGGAGTTGGCCAGCTGCAGCCAACCACGCCAGGCGTCAATGGCGTTGGCGGCAGCATCACGTCGCGTGGTTTCCGAGTCGAGGAACTGTGCTGCGTGCGATTTGAAAAACGTTGCTGCGTCATGGAGAAGCGTCATGGCGTCCGTGTTTCGCTGCAGGTGCATGTACACCTTGGCCAGGTGCATGCGAAGGAAGGCAGACGCCGGCACGCCGCCGTCGCATGCAGCCTCAAAAGTTTCGATCGCCTTGGTGTAGTACCCCACAGCCTCGTCCGGCTCGTTGCGGAGGATGTAAACATTGCCGAGCCCGGCGTACGCAATCGCCGTGTTGGCGTCCTGGCGGCCAAAATGCTGCTCCTCCAGCGCCCACACTTGCATGTACAGGTCGGTGGCTTCGTCGAGATACAAGGACGTCGTGCCATTTTGACTGCCGGGTGCTGGGCCGTGAGTCTTGATGTGTTGGTCACGCAAATTCTGTCGTGCCATGGCTTCAACTTCTTTCTTTGACGGCAGCTTTGCTCCTTTTCTCGATCCTGTCATCGACTTGGATTTGTGGTGTTGCTGTATCTCTTCCAGAATGCGCAATGCTTCCGATCGACATGCTGCCGCGCCAACCTCCGAGGCCAACCATTTGTCAAAGCCCTGGTCGACAGCATCTTTGGTCGCTTGCAACGCCTGACTGTGCTTGAGGCAGAGCGCGTCGGCCATCGCGACCAAGTAGTCGACCATGTCGTGGCTGTCGTGCCCAACCATCACGAGTTGCCCCGCGACGGCGCGCCGTAGCCAGTGAATTGCATCGTCCACTTGACCTCGCTTCATGTGATACCTGGTGGGATGTATCCGATTATTGATAAGGATCTCCATGTCGCGGACGCACCGTCCATGCAGCAAGGCCACCTTGCACTGCATGCCAGCTCGGACAATGTCTGTGGTCACTCGACTCGCTGCCTCCACGAGCTCTGGCCACGTGATTTGGAGCGACCCATTCGATGTGGGTGGCGACTTGATGTACTGGCCAATGCGCTGGACGTTCACGCAGCCGTGGGCTAGCAGGACAGAGCTAACCGAACTGGACGACACGAGGTTTGGATTGCTCGTGGCGTCCCCCGCAAGTTGCTGTTGAACGTCGCGAAATGCGGACGTTAGCGCCGCCATCACGTCGGACTCGATCGTGCGCTCGAGGTGCTGCAGGTACATCTGGAACGACTTGTCCTGGGCGTGGAGGTACCTGCCCACGACGTCAGTAGCCATGACGACATGGACGGTGAATGTGATTGTACCTTACAAGTTGATCCCAGCGCACGAGCCCGGTGGCACCCACGTCGATAGCATCGAGTGTTTCGTCGGCTTGATGGGCGTCGCACAGCGCGGCAAACCCGCTGGTTGTTGCCGTGCTGGACTTAGTTGCTTGAACGAGGCTGAAGAATTCGCTGGCACGAAAAGCCGCGACGACGTCATGACGGCTGCACAGCCCGACATCATTCAAGCACGAGGATTTCCCGCTGAGTTTGGCAAACAGCGCCCTTGCGTGGTGGATTTGGGCGTCACCTGTTCGAGTGGCGTGAGCGGCGGGTGTCGGGCGGATGGGGGATTTGGGGCTTTTCAGGGGTGATCCGGCTGGCGACCGAGTCGATCCCCCCTTGTCCTCGTTTAGCATTTCCTCAGCGGTCGACACGTGGTCGTGGCATTGTTTCCACAAGCCCGCCCGCATGTAGCTCTCGGCAAGGGCGAGTTCAGCCGCGATGCTCTCGACGCTGCACGGTCCAAATGCGAGTTTCGTCAGTGCTACCAATCGCATGTGGCTGCGCAGGAAGCGCTCGTACACGTTGACGCCGTTCTCGTCGTACAAGTGATCGATCGAGACGTTGCGCGGCGCGACCCGTGCGACGGGGGCTGCGGACGCCCCCCGCGGGCCAAATTTGACCGAGAACGGTCGGGCAAACTCCCCTAACTTGGTAAAGCTGCACGTTTCCAGCATGGCCAACTGGATGTTAAGCGAAGTAATCTCGGCCATCGTATCGACGTAGCGCTCATACGCAGACTTGAACGGCAGCGGCCGCGCGGATTCCATCGGGACGTGGGAAAAATGGCCGTTTCCTAGAAACCGCTCGACTTGTCAAGGCAAATGAGATCGCATTGCCCTACGCATGCCATGGGGCTCGTGGCTCGCGGCAACGACGCGTCGGCTCACACTTTCGACGACAGCGACTTCGGTCGCGATTCGCCGTCGCCGCTGCTCCCCCCCACTACCACCCCTGACCGCTCCATCTTCTTTGGTGGCATTCGATAAAGTTGCCCTCGACACTCTCACACCAATCCTGGCAGCAGACGCGACGGCCGACACGAGAACTCAATGACGGCCTCGTCGCCAGCCCCCGCATCATGCATCTTGGCCCAAACTCACGGCACTTTCGACATGGCTCCAACAAGACAGTCTTGCCACGTTTGAGAGCGTGCATGACATCAAACATCCATCGAGTTTATGCAACTACAGTCTGCTTCAACTGCCCCAAGACTTGGCAACGGCGCAGCTTGCTAAGGCAATCCCAGCCATGTACAATGGCCACAGGGCCTCCAAACCACACGGCCATCTCCGCTTGTACGTGCCACGTAACTTGTGGTCAAAGGCACAACCCAGTCCCTGTCGTGGTGTCGACCTTGTTCGAAGCAGCGCCATGTTGTTCCATGGCGTTGGACATATTCAAGTTGAGGAACACGTATGCCGCTTTCACCGCTTGGTCGTCGTTCAGGGCCTTGTCGTTGGCAACATGCATGGCGTCGACTTTGGCTCGATGTGTCCGTGAGATGGCGGCGGAGGCTGGAAAGCACAGCACGCGCAGGGCGACTGTCTGGAGATGAGGGCACGAGCTGCCGAGGAATCCTTTCCACCACTGCAGCGGCGAGCAATGCTTGGCCGATTCCCACACGGCATCGTCCGCAAACACGCCGTCGCAGCGACCTGTGTACCGCGTGAGCTCCGTAATCAAGTTGGCAAAGCCGGCGGGCGACGACACGTGTTTGAGAAACGTCAGTGCGTCGTTCATTTCGTCGCTGCCAAGCGTCGACGGGGTGTACCGCGGGTCGAGCAGAAACGCCGTGTACATGGCAGGATGGCGCATCGTTGCCCAGTGCTTGGACACGATGCGCGTGACGTCGGTCGCGACCGAGAACGTCTGCAAGTGCGACCGCAAGAGCGTAAACTTGTGGTAAAAGGTCGCGAGCGACGTAAACGTGCTGCCTTCCAGTGTGTCGAGAATGTCCACGAACGGCGCAAACATGATTTTGAATTGCACGACCGACGTCCACCACGCGAGGTTGCTCAGGTGGTCGCGCACCGCCAACTCGAGCGAATCGAGCGCACCAAAGTCTTCGGCCAAGAGGACGTCAAACACATGACGATACCGCTCCATGGCCCACACGCACGCCAAGATGGTCGATGGCGGCGGTGTCGTGGTGGTGTCGGGAATATCCACGAGCCCAAAAAACACACCCGCATGACACGGCGACGACGTGGCGTCCATGTCTTCGATGTTGAGCTCGTGCGCGACGCGCACAAAGCGGTCTCGGTGCACATGGTTCCGACCAAAGTACGCCGACACTTGTTTGCACACGGTGTAGAGGCTGTGGAAGGCAGGAAGATCGAGGAGGTCGGTCATCATGGCGTCGAATGCGTGCGCGCAGGATGGTAGGATTGCCAAGTGGGGGTACTTGGTCGCGAGGAGATCCGTCGCGTCTTTCATGACGGGGGTGCCGCCGACGTCTGCGACTACAGTCGACACTTTGTCGAGACCGACGGACAACACGTACGACTCGATGCGGTGGAAGAGCGCGTTCACCGAGTGCGCGTGTTCGCGCGTCGCATCTAGGTCGAACACGACCGGATGGGGCGTGTACACTGTGCACGACAGCACGGACCGGTTGTGCGCGAAGGACCAACTTTCAATGCCCAAGCACACCGACGTCATGTCGTTCAGGTCAGCGCGAACCCGAGCTTGCAGGTCCTGGAACTCTGTGTCGAGTTGGGACAACATCGCCATCGTGGAAAGGGGAATCGACGGCGCCACACGTTTCAACAGCCGATGGAACGACGGGTCCTCCACCAACGACACGGAAAGACCCGCGCCAAACAAGGCTTTTGCAACGAGGCTTTGCAAGTCGTGCTTGTTGATGGTGGAGGATGGCATTGCGTGATCGGAAGCAAAGGAAGGAACTTTACGTTTCTTCGTCTTGGCGCTATCCTGCATAGCGGTCGATGCCGCGTGGACCTTGTATGACGACGGGTGGTCAAGCGATGCGAGAAACGCAGCTGGGCCACCACCGTGATTCAAGCTGGCGGCGAGCAATCCCTTCTTCGCCCCCTCCGCTTCTGACGCGAGAATCTCGACACGGACAGAAGGCGGACAGTCTGGACACCTCTTGGCCAAGTGCACACGCATTCGTTTGACTAACCCGACCATGTTGTGGTGGCAGTACTTGCAGATGGACCGGCGCGCGTCATCGCGCCGAAAATGGACCCACACCGAGTCTGACGGTCGGGGCATCGTACTGCCACGATGTTGGAATGCACGCTGAATAAAACGCTGCATACTCAATTCAAGTGTATTTTGAAAGAAACATTGGTTGTAGTTTGGAATGACGTTTGAAACGTTTTCGATTGCGTTTAATATCTGTTTAAAACATGTACCACGAATCACCGAGGCCATCCAGTCGACGCTCCCCGACCTCACGACACGATTCACTGCACTACCGACTGCCCAAGCTGCGTACTCCCCAGAGCCCCGTGGTTCGCAGGGACCAGTCATGAACTCTCACTCGGGTAGCGTCTGGCTCCTGGCCAGTACCCAAGCGTTTGGTACCTGTTTCGAACGTTTCAAGATATCCGGATATTGGCCTACAATGCTCGTTATCCGGAATTCCATGACTGGTGAATGCATGCCACCACTTCGTCCTCCGTCGACAACCGAGTAGAAGCATGAGCGGTCGCATCAGCCGCATGGGACGCACAGCGTATCACGTTGTGGACGCCAAGGGACAGGTTGTCGGGCGCCTGGCATCTCAATTGGCCCCCATCCTCCGGGGGAAGCACAAACCGACGTACATGCCGAACGTGGACTGCGGCGACGTTGTTGTTGTCTTGAACGCCGAGCACATAGTGTTGACGGGAAACAAGTGGAAGGACAAGCTGTACCGATGGCACACGATGTACCCGGGTGGGCTCAAGACCCGCACGGCCCAGCAAATCAAGGACAAGGACCCAGGTGAGATCTTGCGCAAGGCCGTGATGGGCATGCTGCCCAAAAACAAGATGCGCGCATTGCAGGTCAACAAGTTGAAGATCTTCCCTGGCGATGAGCATACGTTCGAGGCGGAATTGGGCCCGAACCCCAAGTTCCTCTAGAGTACTATATAAAAACACAAACGAGGCCATTCCGGACATCTTGGTTCTCACTCGTGGTGGCACTCCATCTCCAAAGATGACTCTTCCACCGTCCACTCCTACATATGCGAAAGGCTGGCATCATCTCCAACCGATCGGGGAGACTACGGCGTCCATCGGGGCAAGTTTGAAACTGCACTAGTCGCACGACCTGGAGGGCACCGACTTGATCACGTTCGGGGCACCGTCCTCCAGCAGTACGACGCAGGCTGCATCGTTCTTATCGTTTCCTTTCGTCGAATGCATTCACTGCACCAACACCATCCGCGGAATGAAGCAACGTCGCCTCCTCGTGTCCAGGAAATCGGGCGAGGTCATGGTTCTGTCGCGGCACGTTAGTGGATGCTTCTGCAGCACGCACTGTTGATGCTTCATGCGTCATGGAGCTGTACAAACACTTGCCACCGTGGAGCGCCACCATGCAACAGGTTTCACCAGCTCCATTGAGTCATTACACGTGCGGGTCGCCACAGCCCCTAAATACTTGCGTCCAATAGTGTTCACAAGTCGTCGACATGCGGAGCACTGGACATTCGGGTATCAAATCTGGCCGACTCCGACGTCGGCGACGTCACTTGGGCGAGTGAACTCAGAAAACCCGCGACTTCGAGCACGTCCCCACGTGCATTGCTTTTTTCCGTCTTGGGGAAATGTGCATACGACTTGGACGGGGGATGTTCCGGAACCTTCGTCCGCATCTCGACCCCCGTCAGGAGCTGCCGATGCTCGTCATCGCTCCACTTGGCACGCTTGGCAGTGTCCAACTTGTCGGCGTCCTGTTTGGGGGCAATGGAAAAGTCCCACGGCACCGAGCACTGGTGCGACGCCGGGGTTTGCAGCAGCCTCTGGCGGGGCAGAAGGTCCGTGTCTGAAGGGCCGTCGGAGTCTGACGGCAGGTCGGTGCTGTCTGGGGTGGCGCCGCCGCGACGCATGTACTTGAGGTTAAATCGTTGCAGGGCTTCGCACGACACCATCGCCAAAGCATTCACGCCGGCAAAGAAATCGGTTGTCGATGACGACGACGTTGCTGACTGCTTGCGCTTCTTGGACAAAGGTACTACCAACAACGACGATGAGAGATGCTTCAAGCTACACTAGGAGTGCCGCATCGACGACGTCAAGGCAGCATTCGAAGTGTACCTTGAGCAGGTGTGGATGTGGACGAGATTTGGCCATCACGCAGGTCGGCAGCGCCGTGCCTAGTTTGAAACGCCGAGATCTGTTGGTTGGCATTCACTTCATTCTGTTGTCTCTTAAGCATGGATGCTTGACGACGCTCTTGCATCTCCAACAGGCGCTTTCGAAGTAAAAGCTTGATGTCAGCGTCCGACAAGTCCTTGATCTTGTCCTCGAAGCGTGTGCGATTTGAAGGAAGTGCATTTGGGGGCGTTGCAACGACTTTTGTGGAGATGGACGTCCGAGTAACAGGCTTGGAAATCGCAGCAAACGATGGTGTGTTACCCGTTGTGTTGAGTTCGTGGGTTGCAGAATTATCTTTCTTCGCCGATTGCTACACAAGGATTATATCGGCTGTGTGAGCGACCTCGACTCTTACCTCCACAGTCCCTTCGTTGTTGCAGCATTTGACAGCACCACCACTGTCCAATTCGACGGGTCCGGTGTCTGTGTTGCTTTTTGGAAGGAGTGACACGAGCGCTGAACCCGTAACACCGCCCAGGCGTTTGACCCCTGGTGACTTCAATTGTTCCGACAGGAGCGAGACACCCGATTGCATAGATTCTAAGCTGCGCAGGTCTTTGCCGGTCATCATCGTCTTGTAATGCAACGATGCGTACTCGTACACTTCTTGGACTGATTTCGAATCAACGACGCGGGCAATGCGGTTCCAGTCGGATCCGAACTGTTGCAGCCCCAAGATGAACTTGGACCGTTCGTCGTCGGACCAACTTGTGCTTACATCCATTACGATTCCTCCCACCATGATGCAGCAGTCGTTCGTTGGCAGATGCGAGCGCGTCTCCGGCAGCGTGGCGGTTGCGGCTAACGTGGTGGCGGCAACCTGCGAGTGCAAAAGTGAACTGCTCGTCGAATCTTTTGAGACCATGGAATAAAATTACACTTGATGAATGTATTCAACCTCCCACGTTGGGTCTCATTTTTTTCCATTTTCCCCCTCCATTCTCCCCTGCGTAAACCTATGGCGGACCATCTCTCTTGAAATTTGTATACTGCCACCTTGTAACCGGACTCGCGACTATCCGGATACTACCTGCCAGCCAATCGCAATGGTGCGTTGCCCACATTGCCCGATAAAGTGCGCACGTAACCGTCTGAAACGCTTGACGAAGCCAGGTCGAGGGCCACCTGCCAATCTGGTCGGTGGCGTTATCGCCACCATTGACGTTGGCGAGTGCATGCAGATGAAGGCGTCAAGCAGATGATGTTCAATTCGAGGATAAGATAGTCTTGGCCATTTGTAAGCTAAGAACCGTGGCTTACCATAAGACCCCCCTCAGTTGCTGTGAGAGAAGACGTGGATGGTTAGGGAGTTGACTTGAATGGGATGCGTCAATGACTTCGCTCAATGATCATTTCAAGTGTGTAGCAGTGATACATGAGGAATGAAGTACCTGGAGCGCGATGCGGACGGACATGCCGTCCATCTCGAAGCATCACAATTGGTCGCAGGATGAGGAAGGCGTGAATCGGAATATGAAGTTCAAAATCATAAATCCCAAGGAGCTTGATGACGATACATCAGCGTGTTCATGCAAGTGTCGTGAACACTGTCGAAGGGATTTCGCCGCTCTTCCGCCTTGGATTGGCGATCGTCGCTTTGCACTGTTTAAACCTTGGAAGGAATTCAAGTCTTCGCAGGCTATGCTATTTATACTTTGGCGCGGTTGGATCGTTTACAAACGTTAACCAGGCAATCAATGTAGCCCTTTCCTTCAATTCCTTGCAAAGTGAGACAACACAGTCGACTGCGACCGAGCTCCGCGTGGGTAGTATTCAGGTTTGAGTATGTACTTGTCGCAGACCCACGTCGAGCAGGGTTCGATCGAACTGCCATGCGCCTAGGTGCAACGACCTGTGCTGGCTAGAGTACAACCGCAGGGGGAGTCCCGTGGCATGGTCTCACTCCTGGCATTGAAACTCATCGTCTCCGCCGTTCTTTTGGTGTGGGCACAACCTCACGACGGAGTGGCTGAATAGTAGTACTACAATTACCTACTAACTGGGGTGATTTGTAACATATTTTGTCCAATCATCGACATGTATCAGAATGGAATGAAATAATTGGCTCGAAGGATGTATTTTCTGACCAATTGTTGCCCTGTTGAACAGGTTTTCGAAGTTCGTAGGTCTTCGTTGCCTGTCGTGTGCAACAGGAGCAGGCCTGACCAACCTCAGCTCTGCCTTCCCCAAATCCCTCGCCGCCGACGCGCTCTGATGGTTCGTCTGTTCCTTGACGGTCTTGTTGTCGCTGTGGCACTGCTCACACGCACCATCGCAGCTACAGGGGCTTGCCCAGGTGCGCAGTTCGAAGTGTCGCTGCTTGGCAGCGCCAGCGTTTATTGCGTGGACGACATTCCGTGCTCGGGCAATTACGTTGCGGGCCAAGACGTTGCGAACCATGCGTGCCCAGGTCTTGGACAGCTCTCCGTGTATGGCCGGCATCAAGTTGTGGCCCCTACGTGCTGTGGGATCATTAACCCCACTTCCAACGTCATTGGATGTGTCTTTCAATCGGCCAAGTTCCAGTGCGTCGGTCCGATGCCCCCTCCCGTCCCGACCGCGTCGCCGCTGCCTTCGTTAGCCCCAGGAGCGAAAGAGCTCAATTTTCAACCATCCGTGCTGCCCACGACGCAGAAACCGTCGACGACGGCTGCGACTACCCTTGCCACAACTGTTGAACCCACGACGACGCGTGCTCCACCGACGACGACAGCGCCACCATCCACATCGGTGACACCCACCACGGTCACTCCAATGGGTGTGCCAGTTGTGTCTCCAGGTGCCGTTCGGGGAGGTGGCGGAACCCCCGACAAGCAGATCGGGATTGCAACTTTGGCCAACTCGACCACAGCCACTCCCATCAAACCCACAATCGCTCCGTTTACGAGAAGTCCAGATACCCCGACGTACCCTGCGACCATTCCCGCGATCCTCGAGGACAACATCACGTCCATCGTGATCAACGGGCCGGGTCGAGTATTTGTCAGCAACTGGACAAAGTTTCTCCAGTCGGGCTTGGACGAAGAACCGTCCGAGTACCAAGTCGGGTCCGTGACCATCTCCGGCACGTCGTTGAATGATTTCCAACTCTTGAACGACACGACGACTGTCGAAGCTGCGTCGATGGCGCTCTTGGAAATGTACAACATGACGGCGCTCGACGGTGTCCTCACCATCAACTTTGAGCGCCACAACGCGGCGGACGTGATCGATGGCCAAGTGCTGATTGAAATATTCGTCAAGTTTCCAATCGTCGCGTCGATCGTCGTGTCTGGACTTGCCGAAACGTACGTCGACCGCGGCGTTCTCGGCGGCGACGACCTCGTCCTGTCCACCGGCGACGGCAACATGGTGGCGTTCGTGAACCAGTCGGCGGCGACTTTGATCGATCTGCAGTCGACCGGCGATGGTTCCCTTCAGGTGCGCGCGACGACGGCCCTCCGAACGGTTGACACGCTCGTGAGCCGCGTCGAAGGTGCCGGCAACGTCGTGTCGTTTGTGTCGACGCTCGCCGTCCGCAACCTAACGAGTGTGTCCGTCGGTCCTGGTTCGATTCACATATATTCGTCCAAGCTCGACTTGAAGAACATCACGTCCCGTGTGACCAAGAGCGGCGATGTGGTGTTTGCGAGCGGCTCGGGCGTGTGCAAGTACCACGCCGTCGAGATCTCGGGCAGTGGGTCGGTGGAAGCCGGTCGCATTCTGTGCTTTGACGCAGTCGTCAAGGTCGCGTACACGGGGCGGGGCGACGCCATTGTCCAGGCCAGCAACATGATCATGACGGACGTCCGCGGGCCCGGGAACGTGCTGTACTACAACACGACGCCCAAGATGTACCCGACGTACAAGAAGCACTTTTTCCTGACGCAGGTGCTCAAGGCCAACGTGACCGACTCGAAAATGAACGTACCCAGCCCGCGGGAAGCCCTCGAGTTCCATCTGGGCAAGCCCGTGGGCAATTCGTGGCTCGGAATGCTGTCGGCGCTCAACTTGGACCGCATCATCTTGTACGGCTGCATCGTGTTTGTCGTGATTGCAGGAGTTGTCGCGGGCTCCAAGTGGTACAACATCTACAAGGCTCAGAAGAGCTCACGCGGCGAGTACCAGCCTCTGCAGTAGGTCGAATACTCCTCCCACGACGTTCTCGGCAGAAAAGAAAACAACATGACGTGCTTCGTCCACCTGCTATACTCAACTCATTCGTTTGTCCACTCCTGAGTTAAACATCGTTCTTGAAACTCTTCGATGCTTACCGTCGACTCGTTTCCGCTTGGCCATGTTGCGTCGCTTCTGGAGCGCCCTGTGGAGCTATTCCTTTTGAATCTTTGCGTTCGTAGCCCACTCGTTCGAGCCACGACATACAGACACCCTCAAGTTGAAAACGTGCACACATATATTTACCGCCATGTCAGCGAAACAAGTTTTTGAGTTTCTGCGAAGTCGAAGGCCTTTTGCGACTGCTTCGAGAGGACGACGTGGGGCTCATACTTGACGCCGCCCCTGTCGCTGTCTTGACGTTGTTGGCCAAGTACGACCGGATCATCACGTCGGCGCCGGCGGCTGGACCGACGAGGAATTTATCTTCGGGCTGGTTGCGGATCGCGTCGGTCGGCTCGTGTCGAAACACTTTGTCCCATTTCTTGTGTTTCTTTAGAATCTGATGGGCGAGCGCGCCTTGGGTGCGATGCTACAACACAGCGTCACCATGGCGAAGCGAACAACGCGACGTGCTCTATCGGACACCACAAATGCCATGAACCGAGAGGTACCTGCTCTAAGTAGTCCAGAATCGCAATGATTGTAGTGCGAGTCAAGATTGGGTTGACGACGCGCTGCAGCGTTGGGGGCTGTTCGATCAATTCCAGCAGTACCTCCATCAAGTTGACGCCGCACACGACGGCGACGACGTTCTTGTCCGAGTTTTTGTCGCCATTGTCCGGGAACGCGAGGAGGAACCGCCGTATAATTTCGAGGATAAACCCGAGTTCGACGTGCAACTCGGCCGTGTTGTTGGATAGGTTGTGGCAGTGCGAAACGAGTCGGCTCAAGAGATTGTACGGCGAGTACGCCAGCGATGCGACGATGCGCGGCGACACGAACAGCACGCGAAAGATGCGCAACAGACTCTGCTCCGCCACGATGGCCTCGTCTGACTTGGGTCCTTTCTGTATGCGTAGCTCGTTTTGTAGAAGCACGAACAGCGACGCCACCTTGTCTGGCACCTTCCATGTTGCTACGTCGTCCAGGTGTACGGGGTATACCTACACAAAAGTTTAGGGACTCGGCTTCTTCAAGATGACATGAACGAAACGCACGCGTAGGGCACAAATGATGCACGATGTAATGATGGGAAGGATCTGCGCTTGCTGGCGCACGGACATGGCCACGTCCGGACTAAAGCTCGACCGTTGGGAAAGCGACGTGACGAGAGCGTGGCAAAGCGCTTCGAAGTCTTCAAAGAGGCATTCCAAAAAGAACCTGACGAGCACAAACATGGTCCATTATGTTGCTCCGGGACGATGGCAAGTAGGGGTACTTGGGGTCTCGGAGCGGGTGGACGGGATTCTCGAGATATAGCAGCAAGTACACGTCGCCGACCATCGGATACGGGTACACGTGGGCGTACTCAATGTCGAATTGGATCACGTCGTCCGAGACGACTTCCGTGTCCGTACACTTGTTGACGATCACAACGAGGCGGAGCATTTCTCGGTAGAAATGCGTGCGGAGCGTGTTGTTCCAAACCAAATCCGGTGCTTCGTAGTGGCCCTATCGAAAATGCCACACGTGAATTCCCCGTGAGCGCAACATCGATCCATGATTTACACTGAGAATTGTGGCCACGTTCTGCGGCGCATTGATAATTTCGTAGATGAGCGTCACGGGCAAGAAGCGAACGAGCACGTTCATCACGTCTTCCAGCACCAAACTGGTCGGTTGGCCGAGAACTCCGAGGATTGTAGCGCTTGGAATTTGCAACGCGGTCGCGTAGTCGCAGTCGCCGTCCATGATCATGCCAGACACCGCCGCAGTGTTGTCCACCGACGATGTCGTTGGGCACATCCATATCAAGAGGTGGTACAACCAAATGGATGTCGTGATGTATCGTGCGATTGCATGCGACGATGCACACAGCCGGCTAACAATCTCCAAGGCGCGGCTGCTCTGTTCGTCCTCGAGCAATGCGGCATGCATCAAGACTGGGGCCAGCTTCGACTCGAACACGATATCACCAAACGTTTTCGACGTCGCTAGCGCATGCAGGGTCGTCAGCGCATGCGTTTGAAATATGGCAAAGGCATCGCGAGGGACACCCACGACGTGGTCCATCACGGCCATGTGCGACAACATAAACTTGTGCTCGGGAGGCAGCACCCAGCTAAACAGCGCCATCAGGCCAGCGGGTGGTTGGCTGCTGGATGATGGCATGACCGTGAACGCAGCTTCGACTTGGGCTGTCGCCAGCGGACCCAGCGCCGCCAAAATGCCCAGCGCCAGCGATCGAAATCGAATGCACAAGTCCGACGTGAGACCCCACCCGACGACAACATGCACACCCTGCTGACTTTCGTGTTGGCCCGTCCGGAGAAACAACACCAAGGCCGAGTAAAACGACGACGATAGGCCGAGTTGCCGCACAACGTCGACCGAGTTGGTCGCAAAGGATGACGACGTGAGTGCCGCGTAGAGTGGCTCAATGTACACGTCGTCCACGATGCACTGTTCCTTCAATATTGTATAGCGGAACGAGTGCGCCAACTCGACAGCAGATGTCGTTGGCATCGCCACGGGCGCCGTCACGAGAGGGGTCAAAAACGCTTTCAACTCGTCGCGCATCGCGGCCGTCCAAATTAACCGGTGCGACACCGTGTCGCGATGAAACAAGTGGAGAAATTTGTACGACGACGGATTCGTCGATTGAAAGTACAAATTTGGCGACAGGACGGCGTTGCACACTGCTTGGATCGTTGTATTCTTGTTGGCAGCAACGATCACCCGAACGGCCAACATGGCCAACAACGTCTGGGCTTGAGTCACGATGCCGGCATCTTCCCGCAAGGACGTCCGTCCTTCAGGAAACAGCACCGTCGGCTGCTGCAGCCGAGCATCCATTGACGCCTCATCAACGGTTGAATCGAACGAATACCACAAGTAGAGCAAATGCCAGAGGATGCCACCGCTTCGGACAATCTTCTCGGGCAACGGCGCGTCCTTGGCAGTGTCGCCGCACATGCAGATCAGTGCTACACCGAGTCAACAACGCGTGAGTGGAACAAGGCCGCGACAAGGCAACCGTCGACATCCCACATACCTTCCAGCGTGAGCCGCACCAACACGACCAACGCGTCACCCGGTGGTGTCGTAAAGCTGTGGTAGTACCATAAAATGCGCCACGTGTTGTACAAGACATGGTCCGTCTCAAGAATCCAATGGCGGCCGGCGACCGAGGAGGCAATCCCTGCCATGGTCTGCATGAGGTTGATCGATATCTCGACATACACGGCTTCGTCTGTCGGGTCGTCTCCATCAATCATCATGTCCACGGCGTAACGGAGGGCGTTGTCCACCACATGCGAATTGTTGTCAGCCAAGAGATGCGGGATATTGTGCACGGACGTGGCGCAGGCATACTGGAGCAATTGGACCGCCAGGAGTGTCAGCTGTAGCTGCTCTGCATGACTTGTCAGCGGGGGAACATCCATTCGGTCATGCGTGCAGTGCGTGGCAAGGAAGTTTAACAGAAGTGGCAAGGCTTCCAGCTTGGACGACGCCAACGATGGCGCACACGTCTTGAAAAGATGGATTTGAGCGCGTAAGATGAGGTCCAGCTGTACAGCATCGTATCCGGCTGTGAGCAAGCTTTCGCGGGGGCTGGTCAACACAACATATGCACTTTGAATCCGGTCGTATCTACATAAAGTAGGTCTTGTGTGAAATACTTGGTGCGAAAATGCCGTGGAAGTACCGCTGCAGTTTGTCTGGGTGTCCCTCGGCATGCTCCGGACAATTAGGTCGGCTTAATCGCTTGTATGCGTCTCGAACGGCGATGTCGTCCACGTTCTCGTCAATTTCGAGCAGCTCGATGGCTTGTGCACGGGTAAGGCCGACGGCCACACGATTGACTTGGCGAGTCCATTCCGCATGCAAACTGGTCAGGAATGCCAACGAATCTTGAACCGATTCCGACGAGTCGCAAAATTGCCGCAAGCAATATCCATGGCAGTACAGTTCGTTGGCAAGGAAATCATGGTACAAGACCGGAGGCATGGGATGGTAGTCGTACGGAATAGTGACGTCGTGTTGGAGTACCGCGCGGAAGTCGTCCAGGTGATGCAAGCAGCTGCGCCACAACGTTTCGCGCATGGATGCGTTCCAGATCACCCGGGGCGTCTTGACATCGTCGCTGCAAAACAGGGCGGCGAAATCCGCGGGACTCAATGTGTCGAGTTGGTCGATCATGGCCATGGGGAGAAGATCGACCAAAATGCGCCGGGGACTAGAGTCGGGGTACAATTGATGGTTGTGAGTGGCCTTCAAAAACGTGGCAAAGTCGACAAACGCGTCGCCTTTGTACAAGAAGAGCAAGTAGAACACCCCTGACATGTAGATCGTCGTCGATTCCAACGACAAATGCACCAGCACATGCATGGTCAACTCCGACAGCTTGGGCAGTTCGTGAAGCACCAACAGCGACGCAATATCCGCCAAACGAGTCGACGCTAATTGTTTGCCCAGCGGCAAGGGATACACAGCTGCAGACGATGGGCCCGTGACCAACGGGTTGCTCTTCAGTAGCGAAATCAAGACTCGAATCGCGTTGTGGGCCACGTGGACCACTTCGAACCGACGATCCATCCCAAATTCCCACTTGAGTTGGGGAATGTCGCCAAAGGGCACGGGCGGCGCCTTGTCATTCCTGACGCGTGCTATGTGTATTTGGGGTGAGTTCCCGGGGGTCAGCGACTGCTGCAAGTCCTCCATTGTCTTCTTTTGCCCATTGCAAATCCAGACCGCACAATCCACGGCACGTCGACTCGATGTCGTGTGTCGTTGGGAAATGTGGGCCATCTGAATCAACGACACGAGCAGCGGCACAGCGCGCGAGTCTTTCAGCAACTTGGCGGCGTTCGACGGCACTCGCGTCACACTTCGGAGAACTTCGAGCAGGTGCACAAGGAGGTCGTGGCGTGACGTCAACTCCACCATGGTCAACATGTACGACAGATCCTCTGATGGCATGTGGTACTCAAATTCGTACAACCACGCGACCATCGCGAGAGCTTTGAGGCAGCTCACCGTCACTTCCACATGGCCTTTGTACTCGGCCTCACCTTGTTCCCGCAATATCTTCTTAAACAGTGCGGTCACAAAGCGCTTGGGCTTCTTTACAATCATGTCCTCGACGTGCAGCGGTGGGCTCCATGCGTCTTCGGCGCCCGCCTCGATCGACGCAACGGGACACATGAGCAAGTGGCGCAAATACAGCCCGTCCACAACCAGTTCATTCTCCAACGTGGTATACGTGATCGAAAAGTCTTCGTAATTCCACACGACGTTGAACTGTCCGTGGATGGAATAGCTTCGGAACTGATGGATCTCGTGCACCAACGCCTGGTGCAATTCCTCTCGCGTCGCGGTAGTCCACACGAGCTCAATTGTCTCGTGGTCTTGCTGCATCATGTGAAACAAAATGCGAAAGTTCTCGACGGGCCGATCCGACGACTGCAACGACGCCGGGTCCTGTGTGGGTTTGTCTGCGCCTACGCCAAGCGTGATCGCTCGCCGCAGCATTTGCAAGTTGAACATCCCATCCTTCAGCAACGACAAACTGCCACCGCGACTGGTACTGGTGATGCTGATGGCAGCGCCGGTCGTGTTGGAAGCAATCGTAGACTCGTCAAACACGTTGCCTTTGGACTTGATTTGCATGCGCTCGAGCAGCTTTGCGGACGAAAACACAGAATCCGTCACGGCCGCAGCATTTACAGGAAGCCCGTCGTTGCTCGACGATTCGTACATGTTGTCGTAAAACGAGTCGTAGTCCGACATGATTTCGCTCCGACTTCGACGGGATGCCAAGAGCTCGGCATTGAAAGCGCCAAACTTGTCCATGAAAGTCGTTTTTTCCAACTCGTCCAACTGGCACTCTTCCGCAGACGACAGCAGACGCATCTCCAGGCACGACACCAACCCTGGCGGAAAGATACGGCGGAGGAGCTGCTTGGCCGGGGCGTGGTTGCTCATCCACATGGTAATCATGTACCGACTCACGCATCGCTGGTCAAAGCTCGGGTCGAACATAGATTGATACAAATGTTGCAGCACAAGACCTTGCCGCAACGCTGCATCTTTGATGGACGCCGCTGCGTCTTGCGAACAAAGGCGAAGGACGGCTTGCACGAGCAGCGTGCCTACAGCGACAACGTCGTCAGTTTGCACACGACAACGCCGACGCACATGACTCGACCGTCGTGGTACATCGAGACCGAAAGAGGAGCCTACAGTCGACATGACGCAACGAACAGGAACATGACGGGCGTCAAATCGCACGCGACACTCGGGGAGCTAGGCCATCCAACACGTACAAGTTCACAAAAACGACTGCACGTACTGCGTGAGAGAGTCGTAGTGCGGCACCAATTTGTCCACGAGGACCCGTACGTTGGCAGGATCCGTCGTGTGCCGATGAGAGCAAATGGCACCTTCAAGCACTTTGAGGTTGCCCATGAGGCTGAGCGGTCCAGCGCGACGTATGGCAAATCGACCGAGGACCCCAACGAGTCCATTCACAAGCGCATCTTGTCCAAACAACATCCGTTTGTTGTTCATTTCAGCTTCACCATTCGTCGACCGTTTGTCCGCCACGGATTCAACGTCTACAAGACCCAGATCAATGAGATCATATCATCGCACAGAGTCACACGAGACTCGTCGGAGCGATTGTCCTCGCACAGACGAGCTGCCCGCGGAACGCACCAGTGCCTTCGGGCATTGCCGCGGACGATATGGTGTGCATCGTGAGTCGCTGAATCAGCAGTGCAGTCCATAGCACAGTGAGTTCATCTTCGGCCACTAGGTAATGCCGCAAGCTATCCATGACACTAGGAAAATGCAGCAGCTCGCGAAACCCGTAAAACGAACTCGCGATGCGGCACATGCATTGCAGCAGCGTGACGGCTGTGCGCGGAGCGGGGGGTTGGCACACTGCCACCGTTTGAAAGTGGACCACCAAGGGCTTCAGCGCCTCGAGGACGATTGATCGCTTCGTGTGGTATTGTATCCCCGATAGAGGAACGTTTGCATTGAACTCGGCAGCAGTTGACACGAGCCTACCCAGACAACCACGGTGAACCGACCAAGTCTTCATGAAATAAATAGTTTTGTACCCTCGACCAGCGGCAGCGCCGGCACGAATGCCATTTCCACTCGTGTACTTGCCTACAGCCGCCAAACGCTTGAGAAAGCAAGCGCCGATCGATGAATCGCCAAAAAAGCTCGAGCTTTCCATCACATCTTCGACCGCAAATCGCGGTAGTAGGCGTAGCCCAGTCTGGCTCGGAGTCGACGAAATCTCAAGCGAGTTGTCCGGGTTGTTGGCGCTGAAAGAATCGTAGAGTGCCGCCAACACTCCATCACGATCATGGCACGAATACAACCGCGAGTGGGACCCATGGACAAACTCGATCTCGAACTGATTTGAACCAGGATGTCGAACGAGTCCAAAGAGCGATCGAAGAGGCACGCTGGAAAGGACAACGAGGGACTTTGGATCCAGTTCCAACAGTGCTGCGGGAATGAGCGCGAGAATTCGCCGCTCAGGTTTCTAGTCGCAACGATGTCAAGAAGGTCGTCGTCGACGACTGTACGCATTCACAGGTACCTACCTCGTGTCGTTTTGAGAACTTTTGAACGGGAAATTGGACGATGCACTCCGCAGGGTCAAAAACGGGCTTGTCGGCATCCACTTGCTCCAGCGTGAGCTTGCCTCGAGAGGCCAAGCGCAAGCCAATGCGCGCCGCCGCCTTCTCCATGTTTCCAAATAGAAACGACCGATCCATCGTGAAAAACACCGTTTGTTTGCCATAGTACCCAATGATGCACCCCGTCGTGGAGTTCGTGACTGGCGTGATGTGGTCAATGTCCGTGAAAGGGACCCGCTCGAGCACCGCAGGGGTATTGGACGACGAAGGCAGCACTTCCTTGTACACGAGAGCGTCGGCCGCAATCTCCAAGATACACTCGCGCTCGACACCGAGTCGTGTCAACTTGGTGGCTTTGCATTGCAGCGGCTGCGGCGGCGACCGCGTTAGCGTTTGCGCATTCGCAGCGTGCATCCGAAGGAACTCGGTCAGCAGATACGCGCGGTGCTTGTACCGCAGTTTCAGTTGCTCTTCTTTCTTGGGGCCAAGGATCACCAACGTAAACACCTACGACCGATCATCAAGGTTGCTTTTCATCGCGTAGGAATATCAACGACGTACGTGGTCGTCGTTGAGGTCTAGTTCAAAGGACGAGAGTCCTTGATACGGCCAACTATTTGTCACATCGAAGTCCTTGGGGTCGATTGTGCAAAATCGCGTCGCGGACAGCGCAAAGATGCGCTCATATTTGCCCTTCCACGAGATTTTGGTCGTCTGGAATCGCGCGACAAACTCGTCGGGGTTGTCCCCGCCAAGCATTCCCCGAAAGGAGCTTGAATGGGATGTTTCCAACCTTCTTGGAGAATCTACCATATTCGTTGTTTCTACTTTACTCTCGGCCACTCTCGATGGAATTGGCGACGACGCCGTGGAGGGCAGGGGCCGAGCGATGAATGTCGAAATGGCGCACGTTGGACACGGTTTCCATTACCATGTGGTGGGTTTCAAATGCATTTCAAATGGATTTAAAATAGTTTCTCTCACTCTGGAGTATAGATTGTTCAATATTTCATTTGTTTCAAACGCGTTCCAAACAGTTGAAACTGTCAAGGGAACGAGGTGGACATGCTAATTGACAGCATTTGGGCCGGCATCACGTCCAGCCCCAACACGACAAACTTTTCGTCGATCGACAGCGCGGCGCTGTTAACGCCGACCGTTGTTAGCGGCTGGACTCTGGCCATTGAATGCACCGCCAGTATGTTGGCTCCCATCGGCCCCGCCGCTACAACGTGCCCTGTGCGGGCGAATGGAACAAGCGTTGCCACAGGAAGCGCTGTCGTCGTCTCCGCCAACATCTCTCCTTGAAGCGAGTAGGACCGGAGTCTTGATGAGCTGTCGCCTTTTCCACTGTCTGTCGAAAGCGACACGACTATCCATCCCACCGTGCAGACTGCCACAGCGTGGACAACACTGCCTGGTGGCAATGCCAGCTCCAGCACAAGCGCTCCCGTTGACATTGCATGAACCAAACATCGCTCAAACGACCCGCTCACGACAACATCCAAATCTTCGCGGACATCAAGTGCCGTAATGGGGCTGCCGTGGCCAAGGTACGTTAGCCTTGGGCTGTAGTCGTGCTCGACGACGATCCGCTTGGTGGTTGGTTTAAAAATGTTGAGCGTATCCAGGATGGAAGTCCATCCCGACGATGGAACCAACGTCCATGCGGAAATTGTGCCGTCGGCGCTGCCGCACACCAAAGCGTTGTTGTTGCATTGCACCAAGCACGTAACTTTGGCTGCGTGATGAAGGATACTGCCCAGGAATGCCCCGTCAGAGATGGCGTAGCTTCGAACAGTTCCGTCGGCATGACCTCCCGTGACAACAGCGGTCCCGATGACGGTCCAAACCAAGTCTTTCCGCAGCCAAGCATAGTCTGGAAGGACGCGCCGACATTTGCGGTCCACGATTTCCACGATGCTTGAGGTCTCCCCACCACGAGAGGACCCACCATGTCGTTGTGGGGACAGCGCCCCAGTTGGACGAGCCGTCGACGCCACGGTGGGCGACGCCGATGGTAGTCTCGCGGAGGCACTGAACGGAGACGAAAACTTTTGAATCGACACCATACCGGTCGTGTCCAGGCAGAGCAACGTTGTTGACGTCAAGAACTCGACCAGGGCAATCGGATGGACGTGGGGAAGCAGGAGTGGCACGACGATCGGTGCATGGCCCACGTTCGACTCACGAGATGATGGTACATTCCGAGGGACATGCGGCTCTCGGAGCAACTGCGACGGCGTCTGGCCAAAGTGGGCAATTTGCGCGCGCATCGACGCCTGGAGCACTGGGTCTGTGATGGCATCGATATCGACCATTCCTTCGTAGGTCAGATAAAAAAACACATTGTGAGCGTCCAACGCGGCCGGCCCGCGCTGCTTGTTGCCAAACACCAGATCGATCCACAGATGAATGTGCTGCGACACGTAATCGCTTTCCAGGGCCTGCACAACTGGTGAGTCCAGAGCACTCATGATTCAGCGTACCTGCATGTGCTTGGCAATAAAGTCGTGCGGCGAGGCCGCGTACGGTGGCAAGACAACGTCGTGGAGCTGCACTCCGTTTTGTCGCGTGCCAAGCTCAATGTTGCTGTGGTTGTGAAGAAATGCCGTGCTGTAAAACCACTCGGGCGTGAGCTCCTTGAGGTCGCTCGTATCGGTCAAACAATTCGCCCACGTGTCCGCAATCGAGTGAAAGAGCCGATCGGCGTGGTCAAACCGGCCACCTTGGACGCGGCGCGCCAGCGACGTAAACGGTTCCACACGAACGAGGTAATACAACACGGCTCCAATGTGTGAGTAGTGCGAACCATACCTACCGACCAAACCAGTATCACGCACACATCCACGGCATCCTGCCACGTACATGAATTTGGGAATGTCGGGGTCGTCGAATGCAGCATATCGTTGCTTGAAAAACTCGAGTCGCGGTAGATCGAGGGCCCCCATGGGCTTGCTCAAGTCGCGGAACGTCGTCGGTCGCGACAAGTCGAGCGTCTGCGACGTGTAGTCTGCCAGAATCCACGGGAACACGGGGTATTGCGTCAGATCGTTGTACGTCCGGCCAGACACGGTATTCAGCCACATGAGGTACTCGAACGTCGAGATCTCGTGGTTGACCCACAACTGCGTCTTTTCTGCATGTCGAAACACGTGCGACGGATGCCGATGCAGCCGCTTCCAGTCGGGGTTTGCGACCAAACGCATCGGGCGTCGGCCGAGAATCGCACTGTGCACGTCGGTGATGGGCGTCGTGGCAAAGTGGAAAAAGTAGTTTTTTCGCGTCGACGCGATAAAGATTTCGAGCGCCGTCAGCTTGAGGAGGTACCTTCGCCCGTAGATTTGGCATATATCGTCGAGGCGAAGGCGCCGCGGCCGCAGCAGGCGGGCCGTGTCGTCGGCGTATTCTTGTGATTCGTGTTGGTTCTGCTCGTGCACAACAACTTCTTGGTCGTGCTCGTCGACAATCGAAAACGGGTAAAACACCAATTCCGACTCGTTGATGCGAACTTCGCCCGCCATGATGTACATTTGTCGGACCAAGCGAGCTGAACAGACAAAATCGGATGAGTTGTTTTTCGCGGGAAAATCGGCCGACGACTTGCGTCGGGGTTTCCCAAAACTCCCCCCACTGAGTTGACTATTCAATGATTTGAATGGACTTGGCGGCGGTGCAGGGGGTGATGCAGCCGCGGAGATCTGCGGGGACGCGCTTCCGTCGTTCGGGCTGACGTCGTCCTCCTCGAGCATTTCGTCAAATGCGCGTTCGTTGTCTTCTACGTTGCTTGACGTGGCGGTGCGAAGGACAGCGCGGACATTGGCATCGCTCAACATGTCGGTCAGGCCTTGAACAGTGCCAGTATCGCTTCGCCAGCTTGATGCCATCGCCGAAATGGTCGCGGACGACGCCAGCGAAGTCGTCGAGGCATCTGCGGCGCCACTCGCCTCGGGGTGCATTGGGCGTTGAATGACTTTCAAACCCAACCGCATGCGCCATCGATTCTCGGCTGTCGACAACTTCAATGCCTGCTGGGACGATAACACCATCGTCGAGGAAGCTACAGCACGTGCATTGTCCGACACGAGAGGACGTAAACACTGTTCGAGTTGGGATTTGAAGCGCTGTGCAGTCGCCGTGGTGTCTGCAGCTTCTTGTTCAATCATGTGGTCCAGGCTGCCTCCACACACACCGCCAACTTCGTCGTCGTCGTCACTCGAAAGGCGAAGCATCGCCACGTCTTGGGTGTGAACTGACAATACAACAGTGCGCTGTTCGACATCTTGCATCGTCATCTCCACATTGAACACGGCATTCGTCTGGACAAGGTGTTTCCATTTGGCGACAAATCCATCAACGTGGCTGTTCACTTCGTCTTGCGCCTCCATGCTGTACTTGGACACTACTTGCATGAATGGCGCCCAGAGTACGATCGAGCTGTCTGGTGGAAGCGCAGTGATGCCCATGAGGGCGTGCGCAAGTTCGCTGTCCGTCCCCACTCGTCCCAGCGCCTCCAGCGCCACAGAATGAATGAGCTCTTTCAGAGTCACCTTTTCCAGCGCGTCTGCTGCCAGCGCCCACAACCCATGCAGCTCGGTGAGGACAGACAGCAAAAAGTGTGGGTGCATCGTGGGTTCCGTAATTTGGTCGCCTTTCACGACGGAAATCACACGCAGCTCTTCAAACGAATCGCGCAACCTTCCCACGTCTGCCGACGCACGACCGGTGGTCAACAGGGCCGCTTTGATCGTTTGGAACATCGAGTACAATGCGAGGCGGCGCGTCAACGGGTACGTGGCAAACAATTGGTGGAGTACGCTATCGACGTGGTCTCCTTGGTCTTCGTTCCATGCGACGACCGGCAAACGAGAAAGCACTTGCAGCCACAGGTCGCGTGCCTTCCGGAGCAGTGCCACGTGACTTGACTCGTCTGGTAGCGAACACTGCATGCCGTCAGCGACAAAGTACAACAACGCCAAGAAGCTGCAAAACTGACTGTAGTTTTCCCACTGCAGTGGCTTGTCCTCGACAGAGGTCGCCAACAACGCGTCAGCCACCGCCGCGAAGAGCGCGGCGCAACGCGTGGGGGTTTTGTACATGTAAAAATATGCCTCGAGCACGTGGAGCCACCCGTGGTTGACGTTCCGGAGGCTGTACACAATGATGTCGACGGCGATATCGGTGCAGATTGACTCGATCAGTTGAGCCGAGTGATCTGGGAACGAATGCATGACTGTGTCAAGGATTGCTTGCTTAACCTGGAGGGGCGCACACGCCTGGTCGAGCACCGTCAGCATGAATTCAGCTCCATACGTGTCGTGGGATGCTCCGATCGAGTGAATGATGTGGATGCGGGTTTCCATGGAGGCTGTGTCATCGCACAACGTCATGCAGTAGTCATTCAGTTGGCAGTGGTTCAGCGGCGGGTTGGACGTCTCTTTTGTAAGGGGTGCATGAGACGCGTGGCGATTCGTATCATCGTCGCCTCGGCGCCGCTGTCCTTGGATCGAGAGAAGAATGCTGAGCCATTCTGGATCGACGCGAATGTATTCTTTGAAAATGTCGCTGTTGGTCTGGCCCCGCAAGATCAAGCGCAATTCGTACAGCATATACAGCTGCATGCGGTAGTCGACAGAGGTTGCAGACGCCAAGAGTTTGAGCAGGACGACCGGGATAAAGTGCCCGCGCGGCGTCGACGTTTGCCTGGTGCCTGTGGTCGAGCTACGGGAACCCAAACACACGTCCAGAATCACTTGGGACTGCTGCATGTCGATCGAGTGGGGGCTCAACGCGTTATGAAACAACACAGCGTCCGGGAATCGCAAGTGTAGTTGCGCCGTCATCGCTTCGAACGCCTGCAGGACAGGCAGTCGCACGTCTGCCGATGGAGTCGCGAGCCACGTGTACCACACTGTGAGTGGGGCGTGTTTCTGCAGCTTGAAGATGAGTTTTCGGCTCGGAGGTGACGACAACCCTGCTGTGTCCGGCATGGATAGCGTCCGCGTAAAATACCGAAACATCTCTTGAACGTCGCAAATGGATTGCAGCTGGCACGTCGACCAGGACGTCGCAATGCCTTGCATCCGCGAGTCGAGATGCCGAATGAGAGCGACCCACCTGTCCGATTCATCCAGCACGTGGTGCTTGGGAAAGAGCAGGGGGTCAATTAGTTTGTCCAGGATAATCTTGCAGCATACGGCCGATTCCATTGACTCGGACGGTGCTGCATACCATTTCGTCATGAATTGGCACCAGTGGTCGACCCCCATCGTCATTCCGTCGATCGGCAAGGGTTGCTCCAGCAATGTAATGTATTGAGGCAAAACGGACTCCAAAAGGCGCACTTGGCATGCCCATGGAGCATGGAACCAGACCGGATTCAACGCAAACAGCGACAGGACCATCGTGCGTAGCCGCAGCTTTTTCACATGCACAGCGACCGTGTCGAACAGGTCAATGACGGCATCCAGGAGATCGTTCGTGAGGGCTGGCGTTGGCAGCAGAGTGAGTAAGTGGGCGACAACCTTTGACCCGTGCCATCGAATATACTGCGACCGGCACCGTCGATTGTGTTGCAGTCCTGACGCAACAAGTCGCAGGACCCGCACGGCCTCCATGGCGCTCACTGCAGGATCAAAGAGCAGGAGCAAGAACGTTGCAGTACCACCCAAGGGAGCAATGGCTCTGCCGAGGGTCGATCGACACAGGCTGCGTGTGCCTGGCTCGAGCCACCCGTTGGCGCAGTTGCCGCTGACGTCGTAGCAGATGCTCTCATCTGCCGAACTACATACTCGTGCATCGTAGGAAAAGACGAATTTGGACTTGTCGGTGAGAGAAGCATTCTCCCACAGCCACTGCTGCATCACGTTCGAGGGCGGACTGCCGTGTGGCGTGACTGACGGATGCAACAGCGCCACTTCCGCGTCAGATAATGAAAAGCCGAACAGGGTTGGGGCGTACATCTGACCTTGGAACGATGGGAACTGCGGTGTCGCCCCGACGCAATTGTGACCTCCGGCCATCTGCAGGGCATCCGGGTAGGGCAAATTGCCGACGAAAACCTGCTGGCCGTCCATGTAAACGTGGATTTTGTCCTTGAACACCATCTTCTTGGCATGCACAATAGCCACATGCGTCCATGAACGATGCATGGCAGGTCGGCGGCCGTTCAACGGGACTTGAAGGTTGAAGAAACTGCCTTGGGAAGTGAACGACGACAGAACGAGAGCATCGCCGTCGATGCTGGCGGACACTCCATGACCGTTTTCGCCGCGAAAACTGTATAGAGCCATGGAATGCGTGGAGGCATCGACTTGGATGCTTGTACAAAATGTGTATCCTTTCTTGAGCGGAAGTGATGTGCTGGGCGGCGCAATGATTCCAGCATGCTGACCACGCATGACAAACACTTGACGGCAGGCATCGTCGGTGTCGCCTTCAAATCCTGTTTGCGCCAGTTGGAGCAGGCGATAGCGCAGCTCGGAGCCGGCGTTTTGAATAGTCCGCCACAACGCAATCAAATCCGTGGGGTGTGCATCAAACATGAACAACTCGGTGAGAAGCGACAGGACGGCTTCCAGAAGAATTGGCTCGGCTTGAGTTTTCATTGCCAGAAAGAGCAAGCGTCCCACGATACTGTCCGTTTCCGTTGATGCGGACGAGCTCAGAGCGAGAGAGCTTGATTGCAACGATGTTTTGCGCACCGGTTGACAAGACGAAGGACACTTATCGACAGGTTGTAGCATGGCAAGCCTTCGCTGCACGAGCTGACCCGCAATGTCGATTGCTTGCATCTGCAAAAGCGAATTGTCTCTTGCTTCCGCAACGATGTCAATCATGAGCCGGACCATCTCTCCTTCATTGCCGTCGTTGACCCTCAAGGCTTCGTCGAGCAGCTGATCCATCAGCTTGGACGCCGAAACGGCCCGCGATGCAATGAGCGAGTTCCAAAAGATCAGAGTCTTTGGACGGAATTCCGGATAACGAAGTTGACCAAGTTGATTATCCGAAATTTGCATGGCGAAACTTGTTCACATTGAAAAATTTCATCGGCGACCATGACAGAGTTCGTCACCATCGCGACCGCTGCAGTCGCGTTGCTGGTGTGGGTGGTCCTAAGCGGCATGTGGCGACCACGGAAGGTCATGTCCCTTCAAGACAAGCATGCTTTTGTCACGGGTGCGGCATCAGGTATTGGACGCGGCTTGGCGATCGCGTTAAGCAATGCCGGCGCGGTTGTCACACTCGTTGACGTCAACAAGGGTGGCATGGAAGAAACTGCACGAGTGATCAATCAACCTGGCAGGGTGCACGTATGTCAGTGCGATGTCTCTGACTATAAGTACGTCGCGCGCCTTGCCAAACCAACCTGTCACGCCCTAATTCGTTGTATGAAGGCAAGTGGAATCGGCGGTGGCGATAGCTGTGGCTACCTTCAAGCGTCCTGTCGATGTGCTCATCAACAACGCTGGCATCGTGTCGGGCAAGAAGTTCATTGAACTGACCCTACCAGACATGGAAAGAACGATCCAAGTGAACACGCTGGCGCAATTCTACACGACTAAGGTTACTTTGCCGGCCATGATCGAACACCGCCAAGGTCTCTTGGTCACTGTATCCTCTATGGTATTCCCAACTTGTTCGATTCATCGATTCAATGCTAACACGTCAAGTAGATGGGGCTCATTGGAGCGTCGAGTTTGGTGGACTATTGCGCGTCCAAGTTTGCCCTCGTGGGATTCCACGAAGCACGTAAGCATCGCACGTCGTGGGATGCGCCGTAACCATCCTTGTCCTTATAGTGCGGTTGGAATTGAGAGATACAGGAATTCGCACACTTTTGGTGTGCCCCATGGCAGTGGACACCGGAATGTTTAACGGCTATCAGGACGGCAAGACCCTGTGGCAACGATTCGTGACTCGATACCTCCTGCCTATGCTCTCGGTGGATCAAGTAGTTGGAACCATCATGGACGCCATCGTGGATGGTCGCCACGACGAACTGATTTCCTGCGCTCCGGGTTGGCGGCAACATGTCCTTCCATGGGTCGCTCGCGGCGTGCGGTTGTTTCCAGTCTGGGTCATGGAGATCATTCTTGGACTGGGTGGAGCGATACACGGCATGGACTCCTTTGTTGGCCGAGCGAAAGTCGAGTAGCTCTATGTTCAATGGATGCGCGTACGCATAAGACACTTCCATCGTATTTTCAGCGCTTAAGCCGCTCTAAAGGTCGATGGAGCACTCTATTGCTTCCTCAATGCACCCTCCATGTTCCGCTTCGCCGCCGGCGTGTGTGAAGTGGCTGCATTTTTCGGATAATAAATCTTGATCCCGGATAGCGGGGTGATTATCCGGACGTCATTCATCCGGAGCCTTTTTCACACCGCGGCAGAAAAGCCATGAACCGTCTCCTGCAGTCATTCGTGGCATATGACGCGTCCGGCAGCCAGCAACCCCCGCGGTCGAGCGACGGCGCAGCGCCGTACCCTCGTGTGCATTATAACAACTCCGGGAACTATGGATCTCCGCCTCCGTCGCTACCGACGAATGACGACCAGTACGAAACGTTGGACTTGGACTCGATAGGCTCTGGGCAACAGCACGTACATCCCCAGTACCCGTTGTCTGGTCCGCGCTCTGGAAGTCGCGGCGTTGGGTATGCTCGGCAGCAAGAGAATGGACCTTTCGCGGCGCAATTCTCTCAACAGCCTCCGCCATCGCAGCAACAATTTGCGTCGTCGACGAATTCGGTCTTTGACCAATCCGGCTACCACCACCAAGCCACGTTCATATCTCAGTCCAGTACGCCGTATCACCCGTCGGGAGGTCATCACTTGCGCGACCACACACGTCAAGCATCCCCTCCTGCTTTCCCCCCAGAGGCCAACTCGTTCTTTTCGCAAGACGTCCATGATGTCCGAGCCCCGCTTTCGTCGTCGTCGTCTTCCGCATCACATTCCTTCTTCGCGGACCAAACTGCTATCCTGTCTTCTGCCTCGGACTTGTTTGGTTCCAGCGACCAAGCCGACGACTTCTTGTCCGCCTCGTATGCGCCACAAGACGGCGCCACCTCCAGTGAACATCACCCAACCCCGGCCTTTCACTACAACACGGCATCAGGGATATCTGACGCAGGTGAATTGTTTGGCGTAGGTCTTTCGTCCTTCGACGCTGTGCACACGCCTCTCGCGCACGAAGTAAATGTACCAGCTCCACCAACGGACTCGTCCCTCGAGTGTCCGCCTTCGGCCGCCGACTTGTTTGGGTCCCCACCTCGCCCCACCACCACTCACTTGGCCAAGACATCTCCTCCACCTTCCCCTGTCCGCCACGCATCTGAACACGTTCAAGCAGCGTTTAGTGTGATGCAGCTCAACCCACTTGATGTAAACACTCCATCTCCCTCAATGCAAGCCACGACGGAATGGTCTGCGCCCTCGTCGCCGGTCGTTTGTCCTGTCGCGCCGGCGCAAACTAATCCTCCATCGTCGCCAAAGCATCAACTTGAGAGCAAACCCACACTGCATTCCCTACCGCTGTCGCCATCCAAGCCGGCTCAACCGTCTCCCACTCGACCTTCCTCGTCCCGCCCCGATGTGCTAGAGCCGAAGTATGTAGAGGATGCCTCGCTTTCCACGACACCGCATTCGCTGGCACCCTCGACGACTTCCATGGACCACACGAAGCAACTGATGCTGCAGTACAAACAAATGGCCGAGCGACTCGAGACCGAGAAGAACGAGCTCCTCGACATCCTCGCCGCTCAAGCCGACCAGTTCTATGCCATGCAAGCATACATTGATCAACTCGTGGCGGAAAAAGCGGCAGTCGCGGCTCCGTAATATATCTCTCTCGGCCATCAACATTTTGCACACTAGACAACGCTGATCGACTCGAATGGCGCACGGAGGCAATCGCCGCGTTCTACACACATGCAACCGATGGCGTCAACAAGGCTACGGATCCAGCACCATCGACGACACTTGCTCCATCTACGAGTTGCCACCACTCGTGGATGAGACTTGATTGCCCGGGAACAGTCGACGCATCGCCACATCGGCGGCGTCTGCAAAGGTACCTGGGACGAGAGGGCTTTGAGCTGGCCCTTGATTTCTAGCAGGTCGTGCTCGGTGGACTGCTCGTTCGACTTGGCCAAGCACTTGGCCATGGATTGCGGGAACCATGACACGTCGTCTTTCTCGAGCAAGCATTTGACGTACGCTTCCGGTCCCGTGCACTCAATCAGCGACAGCGACTGCAAGTGCACGATAAAGTACAAGTAGTTCCACCTACGATGCGCATGACGCGACGGGGCAGTCGTGGGCACGTACATGTTGTGGTCCTCTGTGATGTGCTTTTCAAACCCGTTCGAGATGCCGAGCTGCATGTAATGGTTGTCAAACACGTCGCGGGGCAAGCCACAGACAAAGCACTGGTTCCGCTTCAAGTCCTCTCGCTCGTTGGTTTCGGTACGCAGGTCGCCAAAGGTATCGATCGTGATGCCAAAGATAATGTTGAGCAGCAGCACAATCACGAGCACAAAGAACGACAGGTCGTACAGAATACGCAGCCAGTACTCGGTGCGGACGTTGATGTTGGGGGGGTGGTTCAAGCCGGAGGTGAGGTAGTCGCCGATGCCGCCGCCCGAAATGAGCCCGCGGTGGACGACCGTGAGGAAGCAGTCCATGAGGGTCGAGCAGTACTCGATGTGCGTGTCATCGTCCGTCGAGTCGTTCGGGTTGAAGAAGAAGAGCAGCATCGTGTAAAAGTATATGACAAACAGGCCGAGGAGGCACGTGAGCGCGAGGGCGCGGCCAGGCTTGGTGACGGCGCGGACAACGTTTTGCAGCGACGGACTCATGATGACGAGGTCGAGGAGATGGTAGCCGTAGAAGATCGGGTGAACCATCGTGGCGCAGAACGCCGTGACGAGGTACACCGAGTAGAACGCAGTGATCTTGTCAAAGATGACGTCGTACACGAACGTGTAGAGGAGGCCGACCCACGAGCTGCTCTTTTCCAAGTACTCGCGAGTGTTGCGCACAAACGGGAGGAAGAGAACGAGGACTACGTTGGAGACAGCGAATGCCCATGAGTTCCAAGCGGGTTGTCCACGAGCATGCCACGACGGAGTACGTACACGGGACCCAGTTGGGGAAGTCTGGGAACGCCTGGAGCAGCGTGAACTGCAGCAGGTACATGAGGAAGATCATCTTCATGAACGGGAGGTACGATCGAACAAAGTGCACGCTATTCTTGGCCAGCTGAACGATCGATTTTTTTCCCCACTTGACGCCGTTTTTGACCTGCCCCGTCATGTTTTCGAGCTGCATGGCGTTCTTGAGGTCGATCGTTTGGATCGCAGCCTTGATGTCGAACTCGCTGTTGTCCTGCTTCATGTACGTCTTCTTGAGCTTGTACGTGTCCATGGAATTCTTGAGCATCGCGTTGAGCCGTGCGCGAAAGATGAGCGGGCCGCTGATCACGACCATAAATACCTACGACGTCGATGTCAGCGACGAAGAACGACGTGTTGGGCTCGTACGAGCACGAGCGTCGAGAGGCAGATCTGCGCCACGCCGAAATACATCATGGGCTCTTGGAGGCTCGATGGATGGATGAAGAATTCGAGGCTCTCTTCCTCGTGGCGCATGGACACGAGCTACATCAACACCGTCGTCAAGGCCAACGTGATCGCGAGACGTCGACGGACTGTGTGGCTTACCATGATCAAGTTCATGAAGATGGCCAGGAGGAAACTAATGTTTTTGAAATGCGGGATGTACGGCCGCACCATGTTGTACAGGAAAAAGTTGCTCAAGTTCTCGATGTGCTGCATCTCTTCGTTGAAGCCGGACGCAGCGCTCGTAAACTGCTTGAGCCGCTCGGTCGATTTGTAGTCGAGGTCGTTGAGGAGCCGATTTTTCTTGGCCTTGAGGTACCGCAGCATGCGGCAATGCGATGCTTTTGGAAAATACACCTTGTCCAAGCGCGGCTCGCCGACGCCCCACCACAGCTCGATCGAGCAGTGCATGGCGTCGAAAAACGCATACACCTTGGCGTAGGTGGCGTCGCGCTTCCACATGTCGCGGGCACTGCGGTAGGCGGATTCACTGGCAAAGTCGCCGCGCTTTGGAGGTTTTGTCGTCGGGTCCGCCGGCGTTTTTGCGACCGGGGCAAAGCTTTCGTCCCCGGCGGCGCTCTTTGGCGGGAACACGCTCGTGGCAAGGGTGAAGAGGGCCACACCTTCCTGGAGGAACCGTTCGTCCCACGTCACGTCGCTCTTGTGCTGCTCCTTCTCGGCTTGGAATTGCTCGTGGATTTCCTGCATCATCGGTGGTCACGACCGCAGCCATGCCGCCAGACGCACGTACCACGAGTCGGTTCTTGATTGCTTTCATTTCCAACGTGCTGCGGAGGCGAACTTGTACTTGGTCGTTGGTGCGGCCCTCGAGTAGACTCACCATGGCTTTGACCGCGTTCGACTTGAGCGACTTGACCAAGTCCGCCGACGGCAACTCGTCACTCGCGTCGTCGTCTTCCGGCGGTCGCACGTTGATCTGGGCTTTGATGGTCTTTCGGAAGATCTCGACCATCACAGACCCCATGAGGAACTCTTGGTTCGGGCTGCAAGGTCCTTGCATCGTCTCGACGAGGAATTCCCAGCACTGGTTCAGCGACGCGCAGTCGGTCGCTGTCATGTTTTGGAGCTGGAGCTCGTCCTTGACTAGAATAGCCAAGTACGCCGTCACGGTCTGGAGGATGTTGACGCTGTTAGCATTGCCGACGTAGCTTTGGTCGAGCATCACGAGCTGCATGTTCAAGTAGTGGCCTTTGATCAAAAGCTAGAGCCCAACGCCGCAACGTCGTTCATGTCGGTCTCCCCAAGCGAGGACGTACCGCCAGAAACTTGACGAGGATGTCGCCAGATACGACGGACGTGGCCGAGTCGACCCCCAGGTCGTCGGCGGTCGACGCGGCATCCACCGGCGCAACCACGGCGCTGACAGGACCTCGGTTTTTCCGCGACTCTTTGATGTACTTGAAGCTACGACGGGTCTCCTTGACCTGCTCGATCGCGTGTTGGAGGATTTGATCGATTTGCAGAAACAAGCTGGGACCGACAGGATGAGATCGACTGACGTGAATTTGCACGTACCGCTCGTCTCCGTCCTTCATCGAGTTGTAAAAGATCGTCTGGACGGCCAAGTTGCCCCCATTCAGCATCTCGATGCCAAACTCGATCGCCTTGAGCATCAACGTCGACTTGGACCCGCCTGCAATCAAGTTGAGGACGAGTTTGGCCGCGCCGCATCTATCCATGCATTCCAGCATCAGTCGCCATGTTGCCGGTCGGACGCCCCACCCTGCCATGAACGACTGCGTATCTTGATACGTCACGCGGGCTTCTTCGATTTCGACTGTCTGCAGCTTCTTCTTTGCATCTTCGGACAAGTGCTTTGTCGAAATGAGCTGCAGCAGCGCCTCCATCGCATACACGACGCAGCCTACACCGCCATGTGAGACCGGCCAGGATGCGCCACCGGCTTCGTACTTGACGTCGGGTTATCTTGGATGAACTTGACGACGCGGCTGCAAAACAACGTGGGCGTGATCGTGTTGGCCCGGCCGTCGAGCGGATTTGCTTCGCCCCCCGGCGTCTTGCTCGTCAACGCTTCGACGCCTTCAATCGCTTGGACCAAGTCATGGAACTCCTTGAGGACACTCGCAGCAATGTCGGCACTTGCGACCATCGCGTACTTGAACTCGTCGAACTTTTGCGCTGGAATCAACGCGTCCGACGACGTGACGACCAACCGCGGCGCCGGGCGCTGCAGCGCGCCGATGCGAAGATCACGCGACTTGACTCGTTGGAGCGGCGACCGGCTGCGTCGGCTAGGCATCGGAGGCTTGGTTTCCGGCGGAGAAACAATTGTCAAACTCGGCTCGGCGGCGAGTTCGACGCCGAGGGCCAACGCGCAGTAGTTGCAAATCTGCACACATCCCACCATGACATGGGTTGCTTCGATCGACCCGTACCTCTGCGTGGCGCCACTCGAGCTTGGCTCGCTTCTTCAGCGACTTGATGTCGGCCTTGAGGGCGTCGTAGACATGCATGGCGGACTCGCCCAAGTCGGCCGCCGTCGGGTCGAACACGGCGCGGAAAAACGACGTGACAACGCACAACACGCCGTGGAAGATGTAGTCTTGCAAGAGCAAAAAGGACGCGTCATGAACGACGCCTTGAGCCGACACGAGGCCTGGCGACGCGTGCTTTTCATACGAGAGCGCATTGAACGTCGCGAGCTCTTTGGAACAGTGGAGCAGGACGTCCCAAACGGACGGCATGACGGCGAGCTGCGGGTCCACGTCGAGGTCGGTGTCGAAGAACACTTCGGACAAAAACTTGCACGCCACGATGCGCAAGCTGAGCGGCATCACGTCGTCGAGAAGGATGGTCAAGATCAAGTTGAGCGGGTACAGTTGTTGGCACTCGACCTCGGTCTTGAAGTTCTTGCCGTAGCACATGACGCTGAACGCTTCCAGGAGCTACACAACAACAACGTGATGGCTCGATCGCCATGCAACCGAACAACCTTTTCCACATACGCAAGGAGACCGGCTTGGTCGGGGGACTCGATGACGTGCAAGAGAGCAGTGTACCCCGCCGTCGTTCGAAGCGCTTCCGACCCGACCTCCATCTCGGGGGTAATGCCTTGACCAAACGGAAGCAGGAGCGAGTCGAATTGCGGGCTTGTGAAGATTGAAAACAAGTGCACCTGGTTCGCCTTGACGGGCGCTTCGTCGGGAATGATGTACCGCTTGAAAAACTCCATAATCGTCGCGATCGCGTTCGCGGACCCGGCCGACCGATGCTTGGAACGATCGGGGTCTCGCAAGTCGGTCACGTGGTTGTTGAGCAACTTCATGAACGCCCATATCGCTTGGTCTGGCACACACAAGCACAGGCTTCGGTTGTCGACAAACATCGCTATCAGCACATCGCCCATTCCTTCCACGTCGTCTAGCCACGAGAAACGGGTCCGGGGTGAGTGAGACCGCAACGGCGTCGTGAGAACGGCGGCGGCAGGTTGGACGTACCAAAGCAGTCGATGAGCTCGGGGAGGAAGTTGAACATGGCCTTTTGACTCGCGGGGTTTTTGGTCATCAGCGCCTTGAAGAATGCGCAGCACTCGTCCTTGACCGCTTGCAACTGCGGCGCGTACTTGGGATCGACGCCTTTCATCCGAATGAGCTTCATTGCGTGCTCGTGCAACAGGAGTTCGAGGAGAATCGCTTGCTTCTCCATGTTGGGTTGGAGCGAGTCGTCGTAGTGGACGCGATCGGCGCAGCACTCTTCAAGTTTGACGAGGATGTCTACAAGGAGCCGGCCAACGCCAAAGTACCCCAGGCGAACTTGATTTGCATCGCACAAATGTTCGCACAACAGCGGCGACTCGAACGCTTGAATGTAATGCTTGAACAGGGGGACGAGATATTCGAGCTCTTTCAGCACTTGCGAACTCGTCTTGGTGTTGGCAGCGATGGCAACGTTGGGCACGGCATTCCGCACGAGGATGCACCGCATGAGGCAGTTGAGGACTTGCTCACGACGCGTGTTGAGCTGCAGGAGAAGGGCCAGCGCCTCGTGAACCAGCGCGTCGTCGTCGTACATGATCAAGTCCATACAAATCGTCTCGAGTGGCGCCTTGGTCACGGCCCGCATATCCAACGGCGACTTGGCAAACAAGTTGTTAAAGTGGGTGATTCCCACCTTCCCAAGCTCGCCCGACTCGAGCACGAGCACGTCGACGACAGAATTGCTAAATTTGAAGTTGGATACGATGCTCCAGAGCTCAAAGTCGCGCCAAATGACGGTAATGTGACCCAGGATTTGGCAAATCTGGAGCTTGCACTTGGTGACGGCGTTGTGGAGCTTGTTGCAGCGGTACCGAGCCGTCGTGTCCTGGAGGAGCGCCGGATTGTCGGCCAAGACGACTGTATTGCGGCCGTCGAGGAGGCGAATGAGTGGCCCCGCGAGCCGCGTGTGCGAATCCAGGTCGGCATAGAACCCGCACCGGACAAGCCACATGACGATCTCCAGCAGTGACTGTAGCAACACATTGGCGTCCACGGTGCACAGGATGCTCTTTTCAAACGCCATCCGCGTGATGATTTCGTGGATAACTCCTACGCATGCCACAGAGGCCGTCCGTCAGTCGTCGCCATCTCCGTCAACACTCGCGTACCTTGGATGAACGCAAACTTGTCGGCAAACGGGTACGAAATGAACTCGTCGTCCGAGGTGAGGGCAGGATGGCCTGCTTTCAGATGAAAGTGGGCGAGCAACTACGATTGTGCATGCAAAAACGATTAACGCGACAACGGGGGGGATGGGCATACAGGATGCGCCTGCTTTTCCACGGCCGTGACGTCGTCGAACGCGTACACAGTCTTGGGGACGAGCATAGGCTCATGGGGGAACCGGTTGAGCCAACACAATTGCAAGATGGTCGCAAACGATGTGCGAATCGTGTACGGCAGGTTTTGGTTCGATATCGCACTCAAGAGCATGTTGTAGCTAAATTGTTTGCTCAAGACCTGCAACACACAATGGGTCAGTTCGGACGCGTCACGGCCGCGGGGACAAAGGACCTCGATGGCCGAGATGCAGCCCCCACGCAGGAGCTCGGCAAACAGTCCGAGCTGGAGCTTGTAGTAGTTGGCCAGCACTTTGAGTCGCTCAAACATTTCGACCTTCTCGGGGTCCTTGGAGATCATGTGGTACTGGTCTGCCCACGGTTTGTTGTTAAAGACAAGGGGAAACATGTCCTTGGGCTGAAGGGCCCACGTCACGTGCTCGAGGAGAACCCACTCCCGAGGCTGGGGCTCGTGACACAGGTGCTTGTCGTATTGAATCAAGTCGTCGGATACGACGGCATCGACAATCGGGGCAAGTTGGAGCTCGTCTGCTTCGAAGTAGAGCCCAGGGGCGCCCATGAACCAGTTGGCACAGCTCCTCCAGCTAATCGCGACGTTCACCATGCCCTTGTTTAGCATCGAATAGCCCATGGGATGACCGTCGTGGGAAAAACTGCTCGACCCGCTAGGGGCTGCCAGCACAAAGTCCTTGCTACAACAAGTTGTCCAGCCAAAGTTAGGTCGAGTGGTTCGGCGTGCTTCTTGCCGTACATGATGGCAGGCACGGCGCGGACAGGCGTCGGACACTCGCACGACTCGATCAAGATGTTGCTCCGCGTGTCGTGCATGTCTGGGTCGTCGTTCAAGCTGTACAGCGCTCGCACGATGAGCTACGACATGAACGATCGTTCCCCGTGCTGCACACCGACGAGAAGTTGGCGATCTTACCTCTTGGTTTCTCGGTATGTTGTGGCCATGATGCGAGCATATCGTGGAGAGAAACTGGAGGATCCCCGATGCTTTGACGCCTTTGGCGTGGATGCTGCGGCAGCTCGACTTGATCAGCGCCAGATCGACCTTGCGTTCGAGGAGGTCGCGGTTGTTGAGAAAGAGGCTCCGGTACACCGATTTGGAACCGGTTTCCGATCCAATGTTGTCGAGGGTTTCGTCCATGTAGGTCATGGTGTCCTGCGGTGCCGTGGAGCGTGCCATGGTCAAGTCGCCGGCGTCAGCCGGAGCGTCCTCGCGGCCAAAGTACTGTGCAGCGGACCGCGTAGCAATGTAGTTTTTGTTGACAATGTTGTCTTGGACAGCGCACACAAGCGCCTTGTTCGAGAGGCGGTGGATGCGGTGGAGGACCTTGTACTTGGGGTCGGCCGCGAGCGTTGGCAGCGTCACGCTGTGGTGGCGGATGCCTCGTAAGACTTGGTACAACACGTCGATCAGTTTGATTTCGCGTGCTTTGTCCTGGCGGGTCGTCACAGGCGTTCCTTCAAAATAGACTGGGTCGTCGTTCGGGATGTTCGTCGTGTCATCGCCGGGGCCGTTGTCCCTGCCGCTCTCCCCCGCATCTTGCCGCGTGATCAAGAATGTCACGAGGAGCTTGAGTGCCATCAGTTTCTCGTGCATGTGCTCGTGCGTAATGCGAATGTTGTCGCGCAATGCGATGGCCAAATCCACTTCGTACCGCCGGAGGTGGTGTATCGCGCTCCGGAGAAACGACGCTTCGTGCGTCTCTGCGTCCGACACCGCAACAAACCGAAAGCAATCCTATACCGATGCGTCGTCATGACGTAGTTTTGTCGGACGACGACTTGTCCGCCCCAATGCTTTCTACCTGGTCGAGTTGCTGCGTCGTGGCGGTGAGAATCAAACTCGTGAGGAGGTGGGCTGTATGTGAGCTCTTGGCAGGTTTTGGTTTGCTCGGGTTGTGCAGGCGGTAGACGACTCCATCGTCATGTCGGCTCTGATCGATCCCCCGTGAGTGCCGCATTGGATGGAAGGGATCGTGAGTCGTGCAGACCATGCATTACCTCGATGCGGCATGCCAGTTGCGCGGCATTTGTCATTGCTCCGGTCGACGATGGGGTTAAACGAAAGCAAGCCCTGTCACCGGTGGCTTGGTCAGACGTCGCGCTCGTCAAAGCCACTTGGGAAGCGTCGCCGGGCGTGTACTGAGGGCCCAGCGCGAGATACCTGCCTACGGAACCAGACGAGAACAACTCGCGTTACCAGCAAGTATTTCAACGCAGCGCGAAGCACCTGTCGCCAAGTGCCGCAATCGATACCGATCATCCCAGTCGGTCACACAGCCCCCTTCGAGGGGGTTCGCCTTTTCCAGTACAAACAGCGACTTGAGTGTAAAGTTGTCGGGGGCGTTGAATGTCGTGGATGGTCGGATGGGCCGCAGATACGGTGGCTTCGTGGCTGCATGGGGGTTTGCCGACATCGTGATGTAGCCTTGCCCTTCCAAGTGGAAGATGCGGTAAAATTTGCCCGCCTACATAGAACGCCCGATGAGCAGAAAGGTCGAGTGCATTGGAACCGACATGAAGCGACCGGCCCGCGTCGGCCATGGCAGCGGCATACTTGATCACTTTCACAATCGTTTCTTTCGCGTTCATGTTTATTTCCTTCCGCATAAGCTCGTCGCGGGGGAACGACCGCTGGCTCAAGTGGAGAAAGTGCTTCGTGTACTTGGCTCGCGACAGACACACCTATCCTGGAGGTTCATGCGGAGAGGGGCTAGATGCCGTACCGCGTCGTTAAACTCGACCGAGCTCCCGACCGACCGAGTTTTGTATCGCGGCAGGAAGGTAAACCAGCACTTAGTGGATCCCTCCGCTTGCAGCGTGAGCTACGCGACAACGCATGAGCGTAAAGTAGAATGGTAGCACATGGGTCATCACCTTCATGCACGTTTTGTCAACGTCTGCTAGCGTCTTCACGCGCGATGTGAGGAACTTTCCCGACTGCACGTGCTGTAGTTGAATCGTTTGACCGTACAACACGACTTGGCCATCTTCGTCGGTGCGGCGACACACGGTCGCGTTCAGGTCGCTTTCAACCTTGGCTTGCTGGGCCATGAGGATGTACTTGTCGCTTCCTTCCGCGAACTGTGCCTTGACGCGCAACAGCGCTTTGTGCGCTTCGTAACTTAGCTTGGGAAGGACTTTGAAGAGGCACCCCTCGAGTTGCTGCGCCGCGTCGTGGGTCGACATGCTGATGCACCCGAGGCGCTCGTCTACAAACCCGTCCGAGTGAACATTGCCTTCTCCGTCAATCTTCAAGTAGATTGTGTCTCCTTCGTAGAGCGCATTGGGCTCTCGGCGCCGCTGGGCTCGCTCCATTTGTAGCTGGTGGCGGAGTGGGCGATCTTGAAACGGCGCGGGCGTCCTTTCGAACCGACTCGTATTGCACAACCATACTAGCATGTCGTCGTGTGAACGGTCACGCTGCGGAAGATTTATTAATCTATATTTTTTAATTGTATTTAGATTTTTCAGAAATTCGTCATAGCAAAATGGGTACATAAAAACCAAATACAAATATCAGTTCCTTCTCGAAGCAGTAATGGGAGACGACGACCAATCTCCATGATATCCTGGCGTTAGACGTAGTTTCGGTTTCGGAGACCACTTGGACCCAACCACCTCGAAGGATGGCGGTGCGGCGCGATCCGCATGTTGTGTACGAAGGAGACATCATTTACCTCTCCATCCACGGCGAAGGAACGATACACTCAGACGGCTTTGTGGACGAAGAGCTGACTGTGTCTTGCAACTCGACCGACGCCACGAACTAAAACGTCGAGGGATGCTTGTTCAAGATCCTGCCCAAGTTGTCGTACGACGCGCACAAGACCCTCAGTCATGCAACCGCCATTGCTGGTACCGAAAAGCATGCGCTGCTTGCCCAGCAGGCAAAAGTCGAAGCGGAGTCTAACGATAACGTCGTCACCCGCATCCCGGCCGGCGCCGGCCAACCCATCCTGTTTGGTCAACCGATGCAGCTCCAACACGTCGTGTCAGGCAAGTTTCTGACCTCGCATTCGAAAGCACTCGCCCGCATGGACAAGTCGTGCATGAAGGTACAAGAAATATGATGATTAGACGAGGCTGAGCGCGGCCTTCCACACAGGTGTCGCTCCAAGCCGACGGGTCCTCCAAGAGCTGGTTCTCGTTCGTCCCGCGCTTTCGACACCGCGCCATCGGTCAACAAGTTCCCTTCAACGAGACGGTGATCAGTACTCATCTGTGCCGCATTCACGTCGTCGCCGCTACCTAGGTGTGCCTCGCCCGGTCCAAAAACCATTCCTTGTGTGTGCACTTGAGTCATGGCCAGCGAGAAATCAACATCCACCATAAAGCTTCAGATGTGCAAGTCGTGTCGTATGCTAGACAATTGTCTCGGCGCATGGGGCTGCAGGTTGGTACCCACAGGATCGTGTGGCTGTCGTGGCTCAGCACGGCGGGGTGGTAGGTTGGCAAAATCTACCGGCTATTCCACGTTGAAGGCAAGGCATTCGTGACGCTGTCGGCATCACCGTCGATCGCACAGTCCAACGACCCGAAACCTCCCTACTTTCGCCACATCTTGCCCGACACGGCATACTCGGACAACTCCAACATGACCGTCAAGTCGATGTTTGTGTTGGAGCGGCAAGACAATTCCATGGAAGGCGGCGCCTTGGTCGACGTGACCGTCCCCGTTCGCTTCCGCCACGTCATCACGGGTATGCTCGCTACCGTCTCCACATCCTGGGAAGCGGCACGACTGCACCGTGGTTGTCGCTCCTGTAGGGCGGTACTTGGCGGTGGCGTCCGAGGATCATGAGATTCGTGACGCGGATGGCAAAAGCTTCTCGATCCGAGCGGTGTCGAGCGCGTCGCAGGCCGACGCGGCGGCCTTTCATCTGACTCCGTCCGGCGGCGACAACAGAGTAGTATATCGCATCGAGGTACCCATTCTCCATGGACCATTCGCACCAAGCTGACGATCTTTCCAAGATGCGCACTGTCGACCAGCGCACGTACCGGCTACACGACCCCAACCTCCCAAAAAGCAACCGGAGCGGGAAACCGACGGCCAGCACACGCATCGTCGCAACCACCGCTCTGAGCGACCACGTATGCGCCGTATCACATGTGCTCGCTTTGACACAGGTCTAGGATGTTTTTCATCTCGTCGAGGTGTCTGACGACGACGTGTACGACACAAACTTGCTGCTGAGCGTGACGGCACACCTTCGCACGCACTACAACCTCCAGGACGCCCTCGACCGCAACGTCCGGCTCAGCTTCGAGTCGATGAAAGTGCCGTTGACGGCGCTGAATCTGCTCTTGGCGTTCTTTGGCTCGAGCGAAGGCACGTTGGTTCGTGCCCACAGCGTTCACGCGCACCGACAACACAAAGCGAGACAAGTCAAGTTGATTGACACGCTGTTTGACATGCTGCGTGTTGTCCCGGCGAACCACTTGGACATGGCCAAGCTGGCAGCCCACCCGCAGCACCGCGTGATCCATCGCATCCACAAGCTCATCAACCTTGTCCTCGTCGGCCTGCTACATGACAACGTGGCCAACAAGCACTACATTACAACCAGATCGGACCGGTCCGTCGCCAACTCGTCGACAACATACTTGGACGAAATTATGCATGCGATCGGGACCGAGACGGGGGCGAAGCGAGTGTACTGCAGCGCGTTTCATAACCACCCCGAGCTGCTTGAGAACCGGGTTGACGCCCGACTTGTCGGCGCAGCGTTCCAGCGCTTGGGCGATAAGGGCGTGCGGGCCATGGGCATGCTTGAGTTCTTGGCAACAACGTGCTCGTGCAATGGTCATCCTCTCGCGACGAACCAAGAGGTAGTCACGTTTGCATTGCAGCGACGTTGACCACCCGTTCGTAGTTGATCGCACTAGCGCTGTACAGCGTCAACCCTGAATTTCCCCGGGCACGGCACCACTTTGTCATCGAAGTGGCGCCGTGCTCTGCTCCAGATCGTCGCATCACCAACACCGTGTACGGCACATCACCAAGGTATTCTCTTGGGGCTTACTCGCGTCTTCTCTGCAGGAAATCCATGGCACTGACGATCCCGCACTGCATGGCAACGAAAGGAATTCAGTGGCGGCCCCCCGGCCACGAAATGATGGACCTGGGGCCGGAGAATGTCGTGATCTCGTGGACGTGTAGCCGTTCATGGCAGCCAGGATCGACGGGGCTGTACTACACACCGGAAGCGCTAGGATTGCCGTGTGTTGACACTGCAGTCGTTCCGGACGACTTCGCACACTATCGGCAATCCTTATCACCGCAGGAGCTTGCCGACACGGACGTGGCCCCCGATACTGCGCTGCCATCGATCTTCGACGTGTTTGCACTGAAAGCCTTGACAGAATCGACGGCGCCTCACGGTTCGGCTGAGCCCACCAAGGCTCGTACACTGGGTAGGAGTGAGCGCATGGAGTGCAGCTGAGTCGTCACTTTGTGTTACAAAAATGTAGATGTTGCAAAACCACCGGTGGCGCTTGCTGCTGCCGGTGAAGCTCCGCGTTCGCGGCCCGCCGGTACGAGGAATGGATCTCACGCCGATGTCTTGTCTGGCCTGTCATAACGCAATCGTGAACAGGCGTGATGGAGCCAAGTGGGGGTGTCGACGACGGTGCAGGGGCGGCCAAGTCGTCGAGGACAGCCCCTTCGAACGAAGGAGGCCCCAAATGGGTCTTGCTGGAGCATGTTACGTGGACACTGGAACCTGAAACCATGTACGCGCGCGTGTTCAACGACGGCAAGGCCGTGGTGTGGCAGGACTTGGAAGCTACCTTGGCTCGGTCCACTCGTGAACACTTTGGTCGTCTGCATGACCTGGCGCAGTACTTTCGACTGCAGCTCCACCTGCTCGTGGAGCTTGTTCGCGACGGGGCGGCGTCTGCGATTCAGGTGATACGGGAGAAAGTGTGGATGGGCAGGTCGTCTAACAACGTGGTCGTAGGTGGTCAAGCGTCAATTCCGGTACTCGATGCTGCTGGCGGCTATCTCGAATGACCGACTTCCCCACTGCATTCGCACCGAGTTTGCTCTTCTCGTCCTCCACTGCTACGTCGATGTGTTTCCGCACGAACCGGTAGCGACGACGAGTCGCGTCTTCGTCTACGAAGACATTCCAAAGATCGTGCGTCGCAAGGCAACCGCGATGGTACTTGTGGTCCGCCACCCGCGCCGGAGCTAACTCGACGATACGTAGACATGCACGTCGTTCGGCCTTGACGCCGGCCACCCCGCCGTCGCGATCGGGCTTGCCAACCACGATGATTTCCTCTCGTATCCCCACCCCAACAAGTTTGCCGTGCTGCAAGCCGTGCTCTTTTCGATCGTCGCGACGTTTTCCGCGACCCCCGTGCGGAACTTGACCGTTGCGTCCACGGCGTTTCTCCGTGCAGTGCTGCGCATTCTCCACGACCTTCTTCGCTTTGGCTTTTACGCCGATGTCGGCGACCAGACGCGGCTCGTTGGGCTGCTCTTGTGCCTCCTGGACGGCCGCAACACCGGCGCCGTCCACGATGACAACCGGTATCGCCGCAATCCGCTCAACAACGCCATGACAGCGACCAAGTCGCAGATTTGCCACATCTTGTCCACACTGCACGAGATGTGGCGCGACGTCGACGTGGCGCGGGTCATGGCGTTTTTTCGGCACGTGTATCTGCATCCGACGTCGAGGTGGGCGGCGGCGCTCCACAAGAAGCGGCACGGCGTCGTGCGAACCGCGAACGTCGTCCAAGTCCTCGCCGACTCGTCGGTCGACCTGTTGACCGTGTCCAAAGGAACGCTGGACTTTATCTGCGTCGACTTGATCATGTACGACGATAAGGTGCTTGTCCACGACGCCATGCACCTCATGATTCAAGCCAACACGCGCCGCGAACAAGTCCTGAAAGCCGTCATGGATTGCCTTCTCGTGTTCAGCACGCCGCCGCGCGCGATCGTTGGCGGTCTCAAGGCGTCGCCCAGCTATCACGTGTTCAAAGAGGTCACAGTCATGCTGCCGACGCTCAAATACAACGTCAGTCTGGCGCAGAGCCCCGCCATGGCGCACGATTTGGGCGCTGTCCTCACAGCGCTGCAAGCGATGCTGGTCAAGTTGGCCGACTGCTGTGTGGACTCTGTCTCGGGGGGGATGTCGGTGCCTGTGGGGGGACGGCGCCGGTCGAGTTTCTGGGGCATGGTCGCCCCCGTCTCGGCCACGCAGCACAAGTTTCCCAACCTCGACAAGCAACGCGTTGTCCTGCACCTTCACGTGCACACGCATGTGATACCGTTGCTCCAACTGCCTGCGCACGCACCCAACGTCGCCGAGAAATTGGTGGCGGTCAAGGCTGCAGTGTGCGAGTTCCTCACTCGCCTCGTGCAGAACCATCCTGCTGGTCAACACGACATCTTCGAGCACTTGCCAGCGCTATGGCCCCGGTTTGGTACGTGAATTCCAGTTGTCTACGGCGCGTGGTGCCCAGCAGTGTCGAGAGTCCGTGCCCCGCTCACGGTGCGATGGATGTAGATGACATTTGTGGCATGGGCGACGTCGTCATTGCCGTGCTCATGAACAACGCGGCGCTGTGCAAGAACCTGCCCGAGCAGGCCGTTTGGAACATTGTCAAGATCTTGGACAGCCACTGCCGCCGCCTGCATCCGTGTGAATCCGCGGCCAGCGGGTGTGGTTCCTTGTCTGGCTGCCCCTCCACGGAAGCGGCATCCTTCCAAGTGATCTGCCAGATATTCGACTTTTTGATGGTGTACATTGCACCGAACGAGATGCCGTCGGTGGCCAACCAACGGCTATGGCTGGACATTTTTACGCATGCGCAATTCACGCACACGATTCCGCCGTTTGCAGCGGGAATCGATGCCAACATGGACGTGCTGTCGGACGCGATTGTCGAGTCGCCAGGGTATTGCGCGCTTGTCGAAGCAGTGCACGCGCCACCAGACAAGCAACACCGCCTCCACTACTTCCAAAAGGTGCTCGTCTTGATGGGCCTTGCGTGCCGCGGCCGAAACGTGCCATGCGAGGTCAAGTGTCAGCAAACATTTCCGCTCAACTTGATCTTGACCGTCCTCCTCGACGCCAAAATGCCCATGGGCCTCAAGTACGTTGCAACTCGGTACTTGACGCTAGTGTTCCTCCACGCGGACGGGTATGCCGAGCTCACGTCGCTCCAGTCGCCGATGTGGCGCCTCCTCATGCAAAGCTCCAACACCATCTCGGACTTTGCCGCGAGCGAAAACAGTCGCTTCCTCTTCCGACCCGACGACGCGCGATTCCAAGATTTGTACTCTGAGTACGTTTACTATGGCCTCGTCGACGTCGTAACGTGCTTCTTTGCGCGCGTGTTTCGCCCGGCTGCCCACCACATCCACGTGGATGGACACATTACATCGATCCGAACGGCGCTCGCCACAGCCTTGGTGGCATTGTCCGAGCGATCGGCGACCGACCCGGCGCTCGCCAAGGCAAGGGTCGCCTTTCGCATGGTTGTACACTTGTGACGCCATTTTGTGAGTAGATGTGCCACAACTGCCGCGTCGCGGTTGGGCTGTCCGATGCGACGGGCAGCTCTGCCAAGCCTGCACCATTCGTCGCTCCCCGAGGAAACGTCGGTCGGCGAGACGGCGGCGGCAACCTCCACGTCCAAGCGAGTCAGTTCGACCAGTTCAAGCTTGAACTGGCCGTCGACGACGCGATCCAAGCTGCGGTCGCGCATGAATTCGACGCCATCATCCACCGATGGGCAGCGATTGATGTTGAGCGGCACAGCCACAGCGCCAACGTGACGCAGCGCCTCTTTTGCACGAAAATCATCGAGTTCATCGAAGCCAACCCGACGTCAGGTACGCGCGCCACCAATTTCGTGCCCGACGGCAACGTACGCAGGGTGCGTCGTCGATGCACTCAAGATCCTGCACGAACTCTGCGCCAAGCACCACATCTCGGACGACGCGAAGAAAACGATGGAGGAAGTTGAGATCGAGGAAGCCATGGACAAACACACGACGATGCAAACGTTCCTTGCCAGGTACGACCCCAACCGTGCCAGTGTGCCGTCCGTGTGCACAGGATCGAGCACGGTGTCATGGTGTCGGTCCTAGTTGCGGCGCCGCGCGAATGGTGGTGCATTTGATCGCAACAAGCAGTCACGCCGACGTCGTCCTGTATGCGATTCGTCTCGGGTCGGAGCTCCTCGTGGGCGGCAACGCGAACGTCCAGGCGCTGGTGATCGAGAGCCTCGTCGCCCGTCGAGACAACAAGTGCGTTAGAGGCTTCATCCGGTGCCTTCTCGATCTGACACCATCGCAGATTTTTCACTCAAGTTGACACGCTTCTGCGCCGGGAAATCGACCGCGTCAAGGAAGCCCGACGTTTGACCAAGTTCATGGGGGAAGTCCGGCCAGAGTTTCGGCGGCGAGGCTCTGATTTGACTGGGGTGCCGTTGTCCACTCGCCAGCCAATCCGACTGGTGAGCAAGGAACTAGCCGGCGGGGGAGGCAGCGACGACGGTGTGTCGGCTGACCTCGTGATCCAATTCCTCACGGTACGAGTGTGGAGGCCTGCGCCACTTGATTCCGGTGGTAGGAATGCGCCAAAGGTCACTTTCGACCGATGCAGACGGTCATGCTGCACCAAGGGTCGCTGGGTGGCCCGGTGTCGACGACGGTGCACGTAAACGTGTTGGCGTCAGTCGTGGCGTTCATGTCGATCTTGGTCAAGGACGAGCTCACGTTGACGAGTTTGGGTGTGGAAGATGGCGCGTCGCTGGTGCAGTGCTGGGCGTTTTTGGGTGTGTACATGCAAGGTCCGTGCCGCATGAACCAGGAGTACTTGCTTCAGTCGTCGTCCATGGTCGAACTGTTTCGGAAATCCCTCAAGGTGCACGTGAGTGTGCCGCAGACGGCGCAACGTACCACCCTCACCGACGACGGTGCCAACCTCGTCATCGAGAAATCCCTCAAGGCGCACGCGGCCAAGGCCATGGTGAGTGCGCTGGAAGGGCGCATGGCGTCGTTTGCAACGTCACCGGCCATCGCGAGGCTCCGCAGCGGCCTTGAACTTGGTGGAATCAAGCGGCGGCTCGTGGTACGTCGCCACCCGTTCTTTATGGATGGCCCGTTCGTTGATATTCATGACGCAGGAAATCCACGAGCAATTCCTCACCGAGAAAGATCGACATGTGGACGACTTGACATGGGACGAACGATTCCTCGAAGAAGGCGTGCACTTGTTCACGCTGGCCAAAGTCGTCTTTGGCGCTGCGTTTGCGTCGATCGCCGTCCCACCCGTCGTGAAGCGGGCCAAGTACGTGTCGGAGGACGCATTTGACGACGCCAAAGTCGCGTGGCAGCGCGTGATGCGGGATTACACAGCCCACACCTTCTTTGCGGCCATGCACCACTCGGTCGAGATCTGGTGGGGAGCCACGGTCGGGCTCGAAACAGTCTACTTTGCCCTGCCATCGCATTGCCGCATGCTGTCGTGCCTCGGGCCAAAGAAAGACCGGCTCCTCAATGAACTCAACTACAAGTCGAGCGACCGACTCAAGCAGTTTGTCAAGGCCACGGCAGCGTTCGACCAGGAAATGCAGCACATGGAGGTCCTGAGCACGTTCATGCTGTACAATCTCGTGCGCCCGTACATCCCGCATTTCAAAACCGCGAGCTTCTTCTTGGCCATGAGTATGAACATCATCATGGTAGTAGACCTTCCACACGACGATGTACGTCCTGACTTGTGCTTTCGTAGCTCGTGGCGGTGGCACGCGATGGCACCCGCTCGGCCTACAACATGGAGTCCGTGCCCCTCCTCAACGCACAGCAGTTTATGGGGTCGCTCCAAGTGTTCTTTTCGTTTTGCGTGCTCATGTTCATCTTGGTGATATCCGTCCCGCTCGTGTTTCGAAGCCGGTGGAACGTCCGAACCAAGCAAGCCATGCTCGAGTACAAAGAGCATCGCGCGCGGCGCTCGCTCGACACTCTCCTGGACCTCGACGACATCAAGATGCAAGTCGAAGCACGCGTGGAGCAGTCCCGCGTATGGTGGGCCCACCTGCACGCGTCGTACGGGACGTTTGGCAAGCTCATTTGCCTTGTCCTCCTGCTCCAATTTACGCTCATGCAAGCCGCGCCAGATCTCCCGTGGTGGCTTCCTGGTGCGTCGATTCCGTTGGATGCCATGGCTGACGTGGTGTCGTGTAGTGGTGCTCCTCATGCTTCCATTCATTCAAAGCACACGCGTGTACGTGGACAAGAGCAGCGGGTACGGCGCATTCGTCTTTACGGCCCTGTACGACCTCGTCCTCGACAAGTACTCGGCATTCTACTTCGTCTACTTTGCCATCTCAGTCGGTGGGTTGTACCTGCACCCCGTCGTCTACGTGCTGCACCTCTTCGACGTTGTCATGATGAGCCCGACGCTGCAAAACGTCGTGGCATCCGTGACCAAGCCGGGCCGCGTCCTCCTGCTCACGACGTTGCTGGGCATGTGTGGCATCTACTTTTTTGCCATGCTTCTCTTCTTTCTCCTCCCGGCGGACGCTTTGGACGATGAACACCACGCGCCGTACTGCCAGACGCTCATCGACTGTTTTTCGCTGTGTGTCCACCGCGGCGTCCCGCACATTGGCGGCGTCGGGTACATCCTGTCCGATGGATTCCACAACCCGCCCAAGTTCCACGACCGCGCGCACTACTGGAGCCGCTTCGTGTACGACGTCGCGTTCTTTGCGTTTGCAGTGATCATGCTCAACATGATCTTTGGGATCACGGTCGACACGTTCAGCGATCTCCGCACGGACAGCGCGGAGCGGGCCGAACTCCGCATGAACCAGTGCTTTGTGTGTGGCCAAGCGCGCGCGGTGTTTGACCAGCACTACATTCAACGAGGGCTGCCCAATGGATTCAACAAGCACATTGACGAAGAGCACAACATGTACGACCCGCGCACCTGCATGCACGTGACGTTCAGATGATGCGGGTGTAGGTGGCACTACTTGTATTTCCTCGTCCACCTCAACTCGAAACAAGTCATTGAATGCAGCGGACCCGAAGCCTACGTGAAGACGTTGTTGTTGAAGGAGGACCTGTCGTGGTTCCCACAAGGAAAAGCAGCATGTTTAGATGCGACGAACACGCGGCAGTCCGTCAAGGACGACCTGGCGCAGATCAAGGCTCAGGTGCAAACGCTTGGCCAGCAGGTACGAAAGACGACTGCATGCACCACCAACGTCCCCTTCGTACCCCAACGTTTGACCTATATTCCATCGCTAGTCGGAAGTCATATCCAGTCTGTTCCACGGGAAGCGCGACAGGAAGGCCATCGCGACGCGGGCGGTGTGACCTCGAACGCCCAGTTCTCCCGACGACTTCTCGACGAAAAACGAGATACATTGATAGATTGATAAATATGTATTTTAATATATTCTTCCTGATAGCAATATTTGTCCGTTGCCGTACAGAACTTGATGTTGAGACTGGTCGAAACGCGTCGCAAAAACACGCATGCATTGGAAAATGCTGAAAAAAGCGTGTGGTTTTTGCTAAATTTTGACATTTTCTAGTGTTCTATTTTTGTAAGTTCGTAAAACCAGGGAAAAAACAGGCATACATTCTTGCTGTGAAGTGGCCAATTTGCAACTTACACCTGCGGAAAGAATTGCTCTGCGCTGGCTCCCCAGACCCCGCCGCCGCCTCCACTCTCCTTCCGCAAAACCCGCTCCGTCCATCGCTCAGTGCCAGGCAAGACCGTGGACTCCCCTCAGTAAAGAAGCAAGTAACACATACCCCAGAGGTCCGACCTTTTGTACGAAAGAACAACGGCCATTACACAGGTATGGTCGACCGTCGTCGTCCCTCGTCACGGCATGTGGACCGACCGCCCATGTCTGTGGGTAGATGATGCAAGTGCAAAACATGCAATCAGCATCCCCATTTTGGAATGCCGGTGGCCATTTCCTGGTCACTGGAAACAGCTCACCCTGCCCGGACAATGGCGACGACATAGACATTGTCGTTGCAACTCCATTGCCCTCCACATCGTCATCAACGTCGAGTCGAGGGAAACCCACGATGGAAGAAGTCATGGACGAACTGCAGAGCCGATTCCTCATGAACCTTCCACAGTCTGAACTGGCGTCGAGCGAACGATTGTTTTTCCAAATCGAGCAATGCTACTGGTTTTACGAAGATTTCTACGCCGACCACCACAACCACCTCACCCATCTCAAGCTGAACGATTTTGCGCGCAAGATGTTCAACCACTGCGTGCTCCTCCAGCCGCTCAAGCAACAGTGCGAAAGCATGTTCCAGGACTTTAAGACGTACCAGAGCCAAATCCCTGTAGTCGGGTGCATCTTGTTGAACCCGGCCAAGACGAAGCTCGTCCTTGTGCGCAACTGGAAGGGCACATCGTGGAGTCTGCCACGTGGCAAGGTAAATCAAGGCGAGACCGATTTGGACTGCGCTCGGCGTGAAGTGTTTGAAGAGTGCGGGTACGACACATCGACGATCGTGTCGGCCGACGGCGTTGGCATCAACGCTAAAGACTTCATTGAATTCCACGTGAACCAGCAGCGCATTCGCATGTATATTGTCACGAACGTCCCTGAAGAGTTCAACTTTGCGCCCCAGACACGCAAGGAGATCAGCTTGATTCAGTGGTTTGAGTTCGACGAATTGCCCAAGAAGACATGGGGGGTGCTCCCTTTCATGTCGCGGTTGCGCCGGTGGATCACGAACGAAGCCAAGAAGGCCACCAATACCAAGAAGAAATCGAGTCGCAGCAATACGCCGGTAAAAAACCGATCCGTGTCTGCCCCGCGCAACCGCCCCGGACATACCGGCAAGCCCGTCGCGCCTGCAAGTCCCCCGACGACTCCGCCGCTTCCAAAGACGCATGTTGTCGCGTCAAACCCGCATCTCCAACACATGGCGTCGTCTAGGTCCATGTCGACGCCACATGCGCGACCGAAAGCCAAGACGCTGCAGTCTCGTGGCCACTTCGGCACGGAGCGGCAAAGCTCGACGTCACTTGACCATGTGAACGCCGAAACGTTTGGAGCCCTCAGCAACGCGACGTTTAGCTTCAACGTGGACGAAATGTTTCGCGTGAACGAGCAACTCACTGGCGCAACGTTTAGCTATGACGGCAACCCACACGATTTCGGCAAAGTCACGCCGAAGCGCGCCGATATTCAGACGCGGCTGCTTGCATCTCCGCATCCTGTTCATGCGAATGGCATTGTCAATGGGCGGCTCGGGAACTTGTCGCCGCCAACTGCTGCCTCGTCGTCCACGGTTGCGGACCACAGCCCCACAACCAACTCTGTCTTCGCCGCGTTTGCATTTGACACGGTCGACATAATGGCGTGTGTCAAGTAGCGGCCCTCGACGGTGTGTATATTTTGTGTATGGGGGTTTATATTTTTCGGCCAAATCCCCACGGTGTTTTTCAACACCACCCTTGCAGTCACAAGAAACGCTATCGTGCCGCTTGTGTTTCCAATGTCCAACTTGATCGAGTGAGTCGATACAAACAACGGACAGTGGCGCTGCTCACTCGTGATGGCAGGCAGCCTCCGTCAACCTTCCTCCTACCTGTTGAGCCATTCCGCCAGTCGATGCGGTGTCGTGCACATCGCCACACAAGCATCCGAGCAGCGACAGGACGCCACGTCCGTGAACGGAGGCGGTTGGTCGGGTATGCGTCGACGATGCCGTGCGCGAGATGCAGCCTCAATCAAGATCGTAGTTTTACCCTCTCCTGTTTGCATGGACGATTGGCTCTATCCCTTCGTGGAAACGGGACCAGAACAGAAAGAGAGAAAACCCCTTGGTTCAACAGGCAAGGGTTCAATCGACATGCAATCATGGGGCGGCGGGGAGCACAAACGCATGGAGGTCGTCGAGGAAGCGCGGCATGAATCGCGTGTCGTGCGAGAAAAAGTGGTCCCCGCCGTCGTACACGGTCAATTTGGAGCCAGGACCAGTCGCCGCCGCGAGCCAGATCGTGTCCGAGTCGTGGTGGTCTTTGGACCCGTTGATAAACAACACCGGGCCACGGTACTTTTTCAACGCGTCTGCCGGATTGGACGCTTTCAGGATCGCAATCTGGGCTTTGGCTTGATGAAAGAAGAACCCGCACTGCTTGATGTCCTTCTCGACCACGTCGCTGTCCAAGTGGCCGTTCGCGTGCACTTGGTCCACCATGAGCTTGAGCAGCTTGGTCGCGCTGAAAGAGGACGAGATCCAGTCGAGCATGACCAAACCCAGCGATGCCGCCCATCCACGGTTGACGCCGACGTTTTGGCCGCACATGAGGATCGCTGCCTTGGAGAACACGTCTGGATGTTGACCCAATACCTCCATGCCAATGTAACCACCGAGTGAGCCACCAACGTAAATGGGGGCAACGTTGCCACGCCACGTGCCCGCAAGAGCTGCAGCGTCCAAGATGACTGCGATTGCCGATTCCAGCGTCAAGGGCTCGTCCATGCGACTTCCGTGGCCAGGCAAGTCGAGCAACACGCACCGCACGTTGACAGCCGCGAGCGATTGTGCGTGCGGCTTGAACATGGTTCGACACCCGCCGCCTCCATGGACAAACACCACCGCAGGAGCGGCACTTTCTTCAATAGACGGACCCATGATCTCGACGTGCTGAGTCAAGTCGATCACACATTTGGACGTGTAGCATGCTTTGCACATGGACGTGATTGTCTTCGGATCCGTGTACAAGGCAAAGTCCAAACACGGTGCGCAGCACACATGGCTGCAGATCGGGCAGGCGGTGCCGCGGTTAAACCACGTGCCCATGGGTCGTGGCATGCCGACGGCTTCGCCATGGCCGCCGTTTGGAAAATGGCAGTTCCATCACCATCTAAGTGAGTCCTCATATGAGAGCAGTTGTGAGTGATTTGCCAAAGTATATAGAAATCATTATGGGAGAGTCAAAAGTTGTGGTCAGCTAACTTTCCCTTCATTCCTCGGAAGAATGTTGGTTCGTAAAGAAGATGCAACCTCACCAGGCGCGAAATGCTGGCCTTGGGTCTATGGCACTTGGCATGTCGTTCCCTTAGAAGAAGTATGGGCATTCTGAGGGCGGCTACAACACTTCGTGGAGGTCGACGTCCTTGCAGGCGAACTGAGCATGACGCGAACACCTTCAGCATGGCCGCCTGCATCACGTCAACCTCCAGACATCACATACGCGGTGGTGTGGTCCAAGGGAAGCCTCCACCACCATCATGTTGAGCTGGTCACCACGCCACCCAGCCCGCATACACGACTGTGTGGAGTACACATATCCTCCGGTTTGCGCACTCGCGCGATTCTGTCCATGCGAAGTGCGCTCGTGTCATTCAGACGTTTTACTTGTTAACGAGACATTGGACAAGTGGTGTCCTCTTCGCATTGCATGCACGCATGCTCCGATCTATTGGATTTCACTGCTGTACGAGTTCCACCAGATGAGCAGCAGTTGCAACACCGCCATGCTACGACCATCGTGGTTGTCACGTGAGTCGACACGTTTTTCAGACGTACGCGAGCAGCATGTAGTTGCGAAAGCGGCGCTGGTCGTGGTTTGGCTCGGGCACCGTTCCTTTCAAGCCATTCAACTAGATCACACATCCCGTCAGAGCCTGGATCGAAGCACAACGTTTGTTGTTGTCGTCACCGTGAAGAACGACGTGGCAAGCCCTGTATACGCCAGAACTGCGTAGTACGGAAGGTACCCGAGCACAAGGTGCACGACCGTGTTGAGGACCAACGCGACGTACTTGTACCCCGTGAAGGAGACAAGGTCTAGCCAGTTGATCTGGCTGTTGAGAAGGTATAGCCCGAGCTTCATCAGGCAAATCTCAAGCAGTTGCAGGAGGCAGCAGGACGTCGACACGTCCGTGATCACGTCTGGGTTGAATCTAGACCGAACAAGGTGTAGATGTCACATGGTGGCCGGACGCGTACCGCCCAGACGCCCCCTTGATGTACCCCACGATCAAAATGTACGTGACAAAGCTCATGAGCGGAATGTAAAGATCTGGAGCGTTCTTGTCCATGGAGGGAGGTGCGTAGGCCACCTAGAACAGTGATGAACACACGAGCGAGAATGGATGGGGGTACGTCGGTGCCGTTGCCTTCGCTCTGCACGATGCGGCGCCAGTCTTTGTGGAGGAAAGGACACAAGAGCATCTAACGCGCAACGCCATGAGAGGCACACGCCAAACAAGAAATACAATTCTACCTTGAGACGGTGAACGACGTACGTGTTGTTGACCGTGAAGTAGTATTTGACCGACCCAAACATGTTCAATGCCCCCGCCGCGGCACCTGCATGTGCGCACAGTCAGGGCGTCCTTACGCCATGAGAACTTCGGGTCGTACCCGGCATGAAGGACTTGACTTGGTCTTCCATCAGCTTGGCGCCGTGGTTCATCGCGTATGCAGCCATCGGATTGCTACAATACCACGTGAACAAGGGAGATACGGGAGCAGATTGGTTTACTTTAACAGCTCGGGGTTCACTGCCTGGCCCATCTCGCCGAAGAAACCACCCACAATAGTGCTTGGGGCGTGATTGTTTCCGCCCATCATCCCGTCAGGGTACACGTGGGGCGGTGCGCCTCCGTACGGCTGTTGCTGCTGTGGGACAGGTTGTGCTTGGTGGTACGCCTATACTTCTTGACGTTCGTCATCCATACACAGATATAACGGGTTTGCCTGTTGGTCGACGTAGACAGGAGCTCCACCGACGGGAGGTCCATGTGTATACATTCCTTCTTGTTCTTGCAGCGGCGCTTGTTGCTGCGTCGAGAATGCCGGGCGCTGGCGTTGTTGGGGATGCGACTGATACGGGGCGTTGGGGTTGTGGAAGGGAACTACATCATTGTCCAAGGATGAACGTATGCAGCTGCATGTAGCCCGCTTCCCCACATACCTTGATGCGCCATGCTCTTCGGCGTCGTCGAAATAAGTGCGGAGCGAACAACAAGCGTTTGCTGCCCCAATTCTATTGGTTAAAAATACACGCCTAAAAATGACGTGATTGGCTAGTTCTACAACAGCTCCTCCGATTTATTCGTTGGCAAGGTTTGGTGCTTCGACAGCAGCGGCGGCTTCGATCTCTGGTCGAATCTCCCGGCGCCACTACTCACTCGCGATGTCACATGCGCACGAGAGTCGTTGACGACGTACGTACTCGTTGAATGTCGTCGAACGTGTAGAGTATTTGGAAGCCCTTCGTGTCATCGTTGCAATCGTCCACACCATGATCGGTCCGCGGTTTGCGCACCTTGGTCGTGAATTCGTTGAACTTTTGCACAAGCGCTTCGAACGGATGATTCGGCTTGTCGCTCGATGGTTGCTTTGACGCCGAGTCATTTCGGTGCCGACTCGGACTGAACGCTCCCACGACCTGCGTGCGTGAGAACGAGTTGCTGTCTTTGGACGAATCTCACCGACATAAACCCATCGGCATCATGGAGGCTCAACCCAAGATCCCGAATAATCATTAACAGAGAAATGTGCGACGGCGACGCTTCCATGATCTTGGACTCGGCGGCTTTGATGATGGCCAGCGCCGCGGCGAACAACACTATTTCACTTGTCCCAGCGAATTCGACGCGAGGCAACCATCATCGTACCTTGCTCGCCTTGCAAGAACATGTAGTCCCACACCCGCAATGCCGTGTCCAGCGGCAACGTGCACACAAACACACACAGAAACCACTGCAACGTGACAAGTTCGATGGCGATGCCGGCATTGTCAAACGCTTCCGCGATGGCAGGGAGCTGCAGCGCCACAAGGCGCTTGAACACGACTTGGTCAACCTGCGCGCCCAGCATCGACCGGCTACAGCAGCGTTAGCGTCGGCACGTTCGACACGTTTGTCGTCTCAATATGGCCGTACGAGTAGTTTTCCATCGGCAAGCATTTGGCCATCATCACACACAGCAGCCAAAACGCTTCTTCTTCTGTGTGAAACAACAGCAAAATCCCAACCAAAAAGTTCATCGACTAGCATGGCAGAGCGACCAGTTGGCGAGTCTTGTCGACTACTCAACGTTCGTACCTGGCAGTACCCGACCGCCGTGTTGTGCATCGAGTACGCCACGAGCACGTTTGTCAGCTCCTGCTTTCCCTTGGTCTCCTACCCGTCATGCCAACTTCAACAAATGGTCGCAACGCGACCGCGGCAAGTACTTGAAAATACGCGTGCTCGGGGTAGGTCCGTCCGACGTCTTTGTCGATGTCGTCGGCCATCTACAGAATGCAGCAGCTGAAGCAAGCCACGACTGCCCCGTCCATGCACGGATGCACATTTGAACGAGCCGTCTTCAAACACAATACGTAGGCACAGCACGTACACTAGTACGCATGTCGCCGTGGAGGAGGTCTACCACGACGTACCCGAGTGAGCTCGAGTCCATGGCGCTGAGTAGAATGGTAGAGGAGACGTCACCAGCGTAATGGGTGCGAGGGAAGGCGGCCTTGTACCCGCTGACATTGGTCAAGATGCCCCATATCGACGCACGAAATGCAGTTGGAATGCCTCGCAAAATGAGCGGCTACCGTGCAGCGGGTCACTGTGTTGGTACCCCGTCAGCGTCTACATGATATACCTCGAGGTGAACCTTCACTTCGGCCCGGGTGAATGCACCACTTCGATTGTACTTGGCGTCAAGTCCATCCAGACCCCCACACGTTTGGAGAAACTCGACCCACGCAGTCGCGACGGCGTAATGCTGAACGAACGAGATGAGTACGACGGGTATCGGGACACTTACGTTAGGCTGGGCCTTCTTGAGCCGCAGATGTTTGCGGTACTGGAGGAAGTATTCGTCGTCCTTGGCAAAGCCGTAGTTGTCGCTGCCGATTGCTCTGTCAAGGTGTATCGCGGCATGGACAAACGCACCAATTCAAGAGTGCGTCGGCAGCGCGGTGATTCATTTGGTCCAGCGGAAGCACGTTCGGGTCGAGAAACCGGAGCACGCGCGACGTTGCCCCGGTCGTGGCCTTGATGGCAAGCATCACCTACGCGGCCTCTGTGTCAGCGCACTCGGATTTGGTGTCGTGTGCAGACAGTACTTCCTGAAATGGCAAATTGGACACGTCCTTTCCATTCACTGCCACAACGATATGGCCTTTTTGCACGATGCAGGTGGGCTTGCCACGTTCGTTGTACCGGACCACGTTCCTTGCTGCTCCCTCGCTCTCGACCGCCTTCACAATTGCGTGGTTACCATAAAAGTCTGTTTCAAACTGGATCCCAATCGCGGCAGCGCCGCTGAACTCGATGTCGTACAAGCACACTTCGTCTGTCTCGTCCGTCGCGTCGGCAAACTTTCTCCGCCGCAGTCGCGCCGCCATCCCACAATCCTCCTGCACTCGCCGCTTCTTGCATCTTCGTACATTCATTCCATCGTACCATGTAACGAATGTACGTACTTGACGTTGATGATATTTCGATGTGTTGTGCACTCACTCGGAAATATCTGAAATATTGTCCTACATATATTCGTGGTGCATATCTTTGAGCTTAATGTCAACTCCAAATGGCGGCAGGGCTGGCGGCGACGTGGGTGGCTTCCTCCAGGATGCGGTAGAATCCGTCAGCGTCGTTTTCGGCGAGTTTTCGTTCGACTTTCATGCGTGCTTTCTGGAGGAACTTGAAGAACTTGGTCTCAGGCGCCGACAGCGATGGATGCCAAACGTCGACGACCAGCACGATGCGGCTCTTGGACTTGTGGTCGTTCCAAGCTTCGTGCTCAAACGAGTCGTCAAAGACAAAGCACTCGCCTTCGTGAACGGACACGATGTCGTCCCCAACACGCAGGCGGCAACAGTCGGGTGATGGCACCACCAATGGAAGGTGGCATCGTAGTTTCTTGTTAGTAGGACCATGGTGTTTGGTGATGTGTGTCTGTGGTGCCATTGCGGAGAAGAATGCATGCTCGTAGTTGCCACCGATAGACTCCAACACTGACGTCGTAACAGGACAGCGCCGCCGGTTCGCGGCATAGTCCACGTCGTGAAGGTACAAATAGAATACATTCCAGTCTCCTGCATCATGACTGATGCTGCCAATTCCGTCCGCAGCCTATGTTGAGTAGGGTGAGTGCAGGTTCCTACACACTGGACACGTGCTTACCTGCTTAACTCCGGCCCATGATGGGGCGCGGTAGGGATGGAACGTCGATGGGTCGTTCTTGAGTGCAAGCAATTCATCCCTGATTTGCGGAAACGCGGCTTCAAGCGCACGGATCCATGGAAAAGTTGTCCGCATCTCCTCTTGCCACACAGGACGGGACGTAAGCCCAGGCAACAAATTTGGGCATCCATACTGCCACGGGGAGATGTTGAGAGGGCGTCGCTGTTTGTTAAGCTCCATCAGAGTCCACTGCCTCAGACGCGTGAGGTTGCCGGTGTCATCCGTTGCAGCCTTTGACAACCACAGGAACGCGATGTTCTGGCCCAGTGGGGTCAAACCCCACTCCTCTGTCAGTGCGCGGAGGCGTGTCTCAAGGGTAGTCTTGTCCATCCGCAGTATCAACTGGTCCTCCACGACCTTGCCGCCGACAGGTGCATCCATGTTGATGGAAGGATTGCAAGTGGCGGTGTGACTGTTTAAAAAACCTCGAATGATTGGTCAAAATTCTACGGCTTATTTTAATGCAATTCTTGCAAGAATATATTAACTTCAGAGGGAAACGAGGGAGGTCACCGCAGTGATACCCATCGCTCTGCTGTGCAGCCTTCCGACGCATCCCCACCAAACTCTTTAAGGTAGCTTCATGTACTTAAGCAGAGTATGGACGACCCCATGGAACACAGGTTGCAACCAACATCTCACAGATGAACCCACGGCATTTAGGTGCAATACAGTCGGTAAGCGAATTGACCAATCACACGTCACTATTCCTTCATTCCAACAGTCACGGTTTCAGGCGCGGCGTCAACCAGCTGAGGCGGTGCTTTATCCAGCGTCACGGCCACGATGTACAAGCACTGTAAGTGATTTGAATAGCTTACAGCTACCCACCGTGCCTTTGGTGATGGTGACGGTGTGATCTGGACTGACGGCTGTGTAGCCCACTTCATGGCGCATTCCAGCAATGTGAATTGCTTTCGCTTTGGTCGAAAATCGGTATGTCCGCAGCGATTATGGGGTGGTATTAGCTGTACAATTCGTGTCTAAGCAGGGGCAAGTGGCGGTGAGCGGTGGCGACGACACGAACGTCAACTTGTGGCGCATTCGCGAAAACGAAACGAAGAATATCATGGTGAGGGGACTCCATTCAAACAACCTCCCATCGAACGAAAATGATTGAGAACGGAACCAGCTTCTAAACCCATGCAACGCTGAATCCTTCTAGAGCCTTGTGGGCCATTCCAGTCCCGTGGAATGTGTGGTATTCGACCCGTCCGAGAAGAAGGTCGTTGCAGGGTCCAAGTCTGGCGCGATCAAGGCATACGACATGGAGGCTGCGAAAGTGTATCGAACACTGAAAGGCCACATGTCCAACTGCACTGCTATCGACTACCACTTGTACGGCGATTACGTCGCGTCGGGCGCGCTCGACACAAACGTCAAGGTATGCACCCGTTCAACCCTGAAAGTATTTTTTACACTACGTCTTGCTGAAACAGATCTGGGACCTCAAAACAAAAAACTGCGTACAGACGTTCAAGGGGCATCGCAGCGAAGTCACATGCGTGAGCTTTACGCCGGATGGGCGATGGCTGACATCCGGGGACGCGGACGGGTCACTCAAGATATGGGACCTCACGGCAGGGAAGCTGCTGAAAGAATTCAATGACCACAACGGCGCCATCGTGTGTACGATCTCACGTTCTGGGCTTACGTCAGCCACACAATCTAACTTGCAGCCGCAGGTTTGGAATTCAATCCAGAGGAATACATTTTGCTGTCAGCATCCACGGACAAGACCATTCGGTTTTGGGATGTCCAGGATTTTGCGCTGCTCGGACTGACCCCGACGGATAATGCTGTGGTATGTCTTCCTGACTTTTCAGGGCATGATCAGTTCTGACGCAATCCACCACAGACAACGTCCATCTCGCATACGGTGAGCGAGCCATACAGTGGCAAGTTTGCCCTGTGTAGTTCCCAAGATGCTATCAGAGTGTGGAGCTACGACCACGCCGTCCAAGTAACGTGCGCTCGGCACCCTCCGTCTGTCCAAGCAATGGTGTTTTCCCTTAGTGTCATGACACGTTGCCTTGGAATCGAGACTCTATCCACAGCGAGCGACTCGGCGACACCCTTGTCACAGACAATCTGCAGCTCTTTGGAGGATCCTTCAACAACGCATTCGTGTCGGTGTGGCGGGTCGATTTGGCTCAGCTCCAGCCGTTTGTCCCTCCCAAACCAATTGCCCCATCACGCCCGGCGCCGCCCCTCGTCGGGTCCAACGCCTCTGCGTACTCCAGCCGAGTAGACGTAAAGCCGTCAACACCTGCTAGCGGTCCAGCGCCGCCCCTTCACGCTTCAGCTCATTTGCTTCCACCTCGTGCGAGCTCTTTCATCCTAGAATTCGCAATACTCACTTGGTGCAACAGGAGCATCCAGCCCTGCTATGAACACCAGCACAGCGACACAAATGGGACCTGATACGATTAAGCGGTTTTCTATCGACGATGCAGGTCGGCTTTGTCCGTCAACGTCGCGGCATCGATGACTGTGCTCATCTTTCGTTGAACAGGCCAGCTTTCAGACAACAAAATGCCACCCCCAGCGGCCATACCTGTGAGGAGTCCACGCAATACTCGCTCTGGAAGCGCTCATGTGACTTCTTTGCAGGACAACGCTGACCAAAGCAGAGGAGACGATGCAGTGCCGCCGCCGCCGCCGGCCACCAATGTCGACTACGTCAAGGAGCTTCGCTGCGGCATGGAAGGGTGTATTCGCACGATGCGGTCGCGACAAAAAAGTTTGGACCAGTTCATGACGTACTGGGGCAAGGGCGATGTCCACGGTACGAACTCGTCGCAGCATCTCGTTCGATTCAATCGACGCCTTTACTTCGACGCCATGACTCTGCTGCTGCACTCATTGGGGCATCTCACGCGTCAACTGTCATAGGTGGATTTCGATACCTCGGACAGCTGCCCACTGGCGGTCACCGTGAGGCGATGACGCACGATATCCTGGGAGCCATTGACATCACCACGATCGGGCTAGATTTGGAAGGATGTGTCCTGGTGCTTCCACTTGCATCCGAGTTGGTTGCGACGCCGTCTAGCTCGTAAGTGATCCTTGCATGCCAACCCCAAAAAACATTGCGCTCAACATGGAGCGAGGAGAATTTTTTGAGTCGACGAGTTCGATCATGCCGCCATTCTCAACTCACTGCGTCATTAGGTACATTGCAACGGGCGTGGCAGTGGCCAAGATGCTCGTCGGGTCGTTCGGGCCACTCGTGCGGGACAACCGGGAAAGTCGCAAGAACAGCCGAGAGATTAACTTTGCCAGCGAAGACAGGTCGGTCCCTCCTTTGCACAATTTTGTGATCCCCTGACGGATCAAGCACAGAGCGGCGCGTTGCGATGCTTGCTTTCATGCATTTGTCGACCTACAGAGGCACGTTCAGCGCGTGCTTGACACGGCCGGCAGCATTGGCATCCAGCCGACCGTTCTGCGCGACGTCCAAGAGTTCCGAGGGCTCCTGTCCGAGTACTGCTGGGTCGCGCCGTGACCGCTCAGTCGGGACGGCTGGCATTTCAACGGACAACGATTGAAGCAAACATCCATTGAGCCCGAGTTTAAATCTTCAACGACGTTTGCCCTTCGAGATGCAAAATGTACGACGACAGCTTGTGCAAGTGATCCATGTCGGACGGCAATGGGTCGACGGGCGCGCGATCTCCAGCATGTTTTGGGAAGGCAAGCGTCCCCTTGACGTCCCAATGATGTGACGCACAGTCTACGCGGTAATGCATGAGCACGACGGCAGTGTGGTCGCGATGGAGATGGTCGAGACTTTGAGCTTACATGACAACGCGTCGTCGTGACTTAGACCGAGCGCTTGGGCGACGACTGCAGTCGACACACTGGTGTACGCGCGGGACAACAACGAGGCATTGTACTCACGGATTGACGTTTTCAATGCAGCAACGATCGCTTGCACGTTTACCTGCAACGGCATTGCGTCGAGCGCTGAAATGGCCGCATAGGCTTGTCCAATCTCTCGCTTCCACAACGCTTGACCGACAGCCCAAATTTCCACCAGTTCATCCGTCTTACTGGCGCTCGGAATGCGTTTCCAGAGATACTTGGCACGGTTTAATTCTCGGCGCGTCAAGACGCTGCGAGAAAGATCGCGTACAAACACGACGGCATTGGCGCTGGCGCGTAGCTCCACGACAGAAGCTCGAGCTCTTCACATAGCACGACAAGCTTCTCCGTATCCAGAGACCCATTTACCTGGCGGGAGTTGAATATATCGTTGATGTGCCGCTCAATGTCCATCGCGGCGTTGAGATACTGCGTCACCATGATTCTCGTTGCAAACTGAATGGGCGGTTCCAGATGCCATCGTGTGTCTCTCGATCCGTTTGTATTTGCAATTTATAAAAATGTTATTTAATGAAATAGTAATACTAGCTGTGCAGGAGATTTATCATAAAAGTATCGTGCCCAATGAATAAACATACCCGCCCTAACCGACTACCTCTAATTTCTTATAGTATCATCTTGAAACTTTATGTAGCATCTTGTCAAATGCTGTCAATTGTGCGTGGAAGAATCAACCGCGCGACAGCATCATGGCGCCTTGTTCGAGCACATTCAAGCAGCATGATGGGCCAGCAAATTGCCGACGAAGGTCAACCAAACCGTGATGTCGGAAACTCTATCTTCCTTGCCCCACACTATGTCGATGGCATCACAAAACACTCGGACATGACCCAGCTGGACTGTGACCACCTCGGCTTCCTCCGCCTGCAACTCATCACGCCAAAGTCTCCGCTCTACTCTGCGTCTGTCGAGGAAGCAGTACAAATAGCTCCATTTCCTGATCCGTTCTGGGGGTTTTGCTGGCCGGGAAGCTACGCGATCTGTCGGTACATCCTGTCTAACCGAGAAGTCGTTCGCGACAAGCTCGTTCTAGACTTTGCGGCCGGATGCGGCATTGCGTCGATCGTGGCGTTGCAAGTTGGAGCTGCTTCCTGCATCGCCAACGACATCGACCCCTGGGCATGTTCTGCTTCGTTGATCAACGCCGCTGCAAACCTTTCGCCATCTGCCTTCACCTCCTCGTTCAACGTTCATGACGGCAACCTTGTCGGGTCAACTCTGACTTCTATTCACGCCACGATGCGCCACCATGCGTCCGTGCCTCATGACCCGGTGCCGTCTGACTGGGTCGTGCTCGCCGGCGACGTGTGCTACGAAGAGCCACTGGCGTCGAACGTCATCCAGTGGCTGCGAGCGTTGGCTGGTCAAGGTGTGAACGTGTTGATTGGGGATCCCGGTCGACAGTTCCTTCCACAATCACGGTTGCGTCCCGTGGCATCCTACGAGCTGCCCCCCACGATTGCGGATGGCAACTTTGGCTTGCAGCCGAATGGGGTCGTCTGGACAACTCAGCACGATTCCGCGACACCGTTAAAAGACCCTTTGAAGAGTGTAAATTAGAGAGACCGTCCATGTTGATGCCACACACCCCAATGCTCCTGATTCAATCCGCGCACTCATGTCAAAAGTGCACCAGAATCCACCTAAACACGGCATGCACATATCACGTCAACCTCTCGAGCGAGAGCCACTCAACCCACAGTTCGTTGTGCGGTGGCCAACTCACTTCACCGAGCCATCGCAACGAAATTTCGCGTGCTTTGGGCTCTTCCCGCCGCAACTACCTCGTCCAACATGCTGGGCTTGTTGGGCAAGCAAGATGCATTGAAATACATGCATCCGACACTGTTAACTTGGCTAGCACTGGTCCACGCAGCATTCGTTGTCGAGTTCAATTGATTCAGGTCGATCTGCTGGTGGAACGGGTGCATCCAGGTGCTTCGGATGGAATGGGCATGTATCGATTCCTGGCACTTCGGGGTGCTTGATGTCGTCGGCAGAAGCAGCAGCGGCTCGGGGCTGTTCAATCTGGAATGCTGCCATGAGTGCCTTGGCCATGATCGTGGACATTACAACCGGCGCTTCACTCAAGTTATCCTGCACCATGTCGGAGCGAGTCGCGAGCCAGCCGTACACAGTGTGGCCATTCCCGACCGCGTCGACGGGGCACTTTCGCGCCTTGATGTCGGTCATCGCCAAGGACGTCGCTGGCGGCGGCAATGGAAGCGTGTCAGCGCGGCAGAGGTCGTTCACGGTCATGGTTGGCAGCACCATGCGTTGGTGGGCCAGGATGAACGCCCGGATGTCGCCTTCTGCGTCGACCGCCTCCATGACGCTTGCTAGCATTTGCCAGTCGTACTACAGGGGGCGTCACCAATCTAAACATTGCCGTCGCATTACGTGTTCATCGTCACCTGCGAGTTGGCTAGCGCCGACGATTCAAAGATAACGTGCTTGCGAAGGCTCGACGTGAGATTCGAGATGCTGTATTCCGCCAAGTGCTACGGCACATCGGCACAAGGGATTGCCATCGATCGATCGGATGGCTCAGCAACGTACTTGGTAGTCGTTCAAGATGGATTGAATCGATCGAAACAACGCCACGCGTGCATCTTCGAACCCGTTCCACGCGGCGCGGCACTCGTGGCGCGCCACCTCGGCATTCTACGGAAATGGACTTCGATTTTCGTACGGTGAATCGAAACGCACCCACCTCAATAGCTTTCACTGAGGTCAAGAGCAAGTTTTCCTTCTTTTGCTGGCCGCTTGGAAGGAGCCAATTGACCAGCTTGGTCCCGTCCAGCGACGCTCGGGACATGGAGTTGCTTCGGGGACGGCCGCCCTCCGACGCGGTGATGTGTGAGGAATGGGGTGACTTCGCGGGGGAAGTAACTTTGACGGTGTCGGGCGAGTGTTGGGGGCTGTGGTCATTTGGTACAGGCTGCAGGTATTCTGCGGGGGGACGAGCCTGTTGCTGTTGTTGTTGTTGTTGCTGCTGTTGGCGATGATGCACAGGAGAGGCCAGGTACTGGTTATGTATGATTTCCCCGGCAATGCCAATTTCCATCGCTTGGGCATACGTCGTCGTGGCGTCTTTGAACTGTTTCTCAAACTTGGAGTGCTGCCGTCTATAGAGGTCTTCGAACGCCTTGGTTTGTTTGCGGACGCGGGTCGTGCACACTGTCAGTTTGGACTCCTTCTTGGCCAAGTACTTGTATAAAGTATGCATCGGGCGATACACGTCTTCTTCGAGGTTGGTTGCTAGGGCTTTGTGCTGTACACTGGTGTTGGTGTACTGCGCCTTGAGGCCGCGCAGGGCTTCCTTGAGACTGCTCGATCGTCCGGGTCGGTCGTCTTCGCCACGTGCGTCCTCGCTCTTTGAGGCGCCGCCGTCGTTCCTGTCACTGCACTCGATGTCGTCTTCGATTCTAAACTGGTCGGCGAGCCGACTGAGCTCCGCCGCGTAGTATTGTTCGAGCTGCAAGCGGCCCTTCAACATGGTCAAGCATGCGTTGTGCGTGGCGAGGTCGGCCGTGCATTGCTTGCGCACGGCATCTAGGTTGAAGAGGAGGTCCGTCGGAAAGCTCAGCCCAGGGATCGTTGACCGCTCCACCTCCATCACTGCGTTTCGCCAACTCAACCGACACTCCAAAGGCACCTCTGAAACGACACAACGGCACTTGTACCTTCGAACTTCGAATCACATGTCGAAGTTTATAGAAACTACGTATCTGATATAAAAGGTTTTCGAATTCCATATCGAATTTCAAAGGGTCGGATCACTTTTTGCGCCAAGTTCAAAACCATGTCCAAGCGCAAGAAATGCGCGCCATCGCCATCAACGGACACGCCGTCGACAGCGAAAGCGGAGGCTACAGCGCCATGGTGCCAGCGATTTCAACTGCTGGATACCTGCTATTGCTTTCTCGTTGCGAAAAAAGCCATTCCGTCCCTGAACACCATCGTAAGCCTTGCAACCCACATGTCGGGAAACCCCGCGAACCTCACGGCAACCCATGTTCGACAAATGGTGTCAATTGGGGTGGTGGAATTGAATGCGCAGCCACGAGACAAAGTTGTCCAACAAGGTATTATTCACAGCGTCTTGGGAAACGTAGGCCTCTCTCATCCGTCGCAACGACAGACGAATTCAACCCAGCCTCACGCGATCCCCACGAAACCATCGAGCTGGTGCAGTTTCCAGACGTGCCGCAACCCAGCAAACGAGCTAGCACGAAGCGAATGCTTCTGTTTCAACGAGCACTGCAAACCACCTCCTTGGACTTGACCAACGTGCCTGAATTCGAAGCCCCCATAGGCAACAAACGTTCCAAATCAGCTGACCCTTCGTCTCCATCGATTCCGTTCCAAACCAGCGCGATACCATATCTGAACACGCTCATGCAAACAAGCTACTATGACGGCCAAGTGGTCCATATCGAAACAATCCCCACGCGACCTGCTCGATTTGGTCATCGACAACTCAGTGACCTCGGCGTGTGCGACGCCGTCCGCCAGGCAGTCCTCGTCGACAAGCTGTACTCGCATCAATCGGACGCAATCGCCGCCCTCTTAGAGGGCCAACATGTCGTCATTTCAACGTCCACTTCGAGTGGCAAGTCCATGGTGTACTCAATCCCCGTCGCGCACTCATTGGTGACGTCACAAGCCACGTCGTTGTTCCTCTTTCCAACCAAAGTAAGCCGCGGCCAGCAATAACTCGGTGTTCAACGCTCAGGCGTTAGCGGTCCTCCATTTTCTTCATCTGTCATGATGAGGGACATGTAGGCGCTGGCTCAGGACCAAGTTCAATCATTTCGATCCTTTCTAGGTCGATGCAACGGCCTGGATCCGTCCATCTGTGCCACTTATGTAAGTTTTGACGCCGTCAGCGACCCGTTTCTAATGGAAGAGTAGGATGGTGACACAGCCATGGCGGCGCGTTCCAGTGTTCGGTCTTCGGCGCGAGTGATTCTCACCAACCCCGACATGCTGCACGTGTCGATCTTGCCGCAGCACAAGGTGTGGAGGACGGTGCTGTCTCGACTGAAGTAGAAACGATGCCCTGCATTACATTCCACTCACGTGGATTCGGACGCCTAGATATATCGTGGTTGACGAAGCCCACATGTATCGCGGCATTTTTGGGTCGCACGTCGCCAACGTCCTGCGGCGCCTCTTCCGCCTGTGCTACCTCTATGGCTCCAACCCCCAGGTCGTGTGCTGCTCGGCGTCAATTCAAAACCCTCGGGAACATTTTGGATGGCTCGTGCCTCAACAGTCGTTGTGCTCAACGGCGGACAACCCAAGCGCAGTCCAAGTGTGTTCTCGTGGTGTGGCGGTCCTGGAACCTGAACAAGATGGAAGTCCATGTGGCGCCAAGTATTTCGTTGTGTGGAGGCCGAAACCACCCCCAACGACGTCGCTGGACCTGAACCAGAACAACCAAGACATGACAGGAAGCACTATATTTCAATCTGCTCAAATTCTAGCGACCCTCGTGGCCGCCAAGGTCCACACGATTGCGTTTTGCAGGGTTCGTACATGCGACATACATGCGACATAACCGTTTCGTCTAACGTGTGGAGCACAGGGCCGCAAGCTAACCGAGTTGATCCTGGACTACACGCACAGCATTTTGCGCAGCCAAAAGCTAGGCCATCTCGTCGCGCGTGTCAAGGGGTATCGTGGCGGGTACTCGGTGGAGAGCCGTCGCGCGATTGAGACGCAGCTATTTCGGCAGGAATTGCTGGGGGTCGTCGCCACGAATGCGTTGGAGCTCGGCATCGACATCGGGTCCCTGGAATGCACGTTGCATCTTGGCTTCCCGCCTTCCATCGCGTCCATGTGGCAACAAGCAGGTCGTGCCGGCCGCAGCGGCAAAGTGCGTGCGACACCTCGTTATTGTCACCCTCCTGGACTTTTCATGGTGCACACCGTTTAGGACTCGATGGCAGTGATTGTATGCTTCGACTCGCCACTGGATGCGTACAACACCTCGTTGGGCTCTGCCATGTTCCACAAACTCCCGGAAGCCGTCGTGTTGGACCCGAACAACTCCCAGGTCGTCCAGCAGCATCTCCTGTGTGCGTCGTTGGAGCTTGATTTGCTGTCCCAGCGGTGTGGCACAAACGCCATCGACAGGCAAGTGCATGGGAACGTGTGGATGTTTATCGGGGTGTTCTCGACTTGAACTGACCTCGTTGATTGCATGGATGGGTAGGGTCATGTTTCCAAACGACGTCGACGATCTCGTGGCGACCATGGTGGCCAAGGGAACCTTGATGGTGAGCGGAGATGGGTTTCGCGTCCCGGCGTCTATGAGCGTCAAGGATATTACGATTCGCGATATTGCCCAGGACGGCTACAACGTTCGTACTTGCACCTTCAACCTCCCTCGCTTGGTCTAAACTCGACGATCGCTGCGAAGGTTGTCGATGTGGACGACGACAACAAAGTGATCGACACCATTCCTGGCCACCGCGTATTCTTTCAAGCATACCCTGCGGCCGCGTACCTCCACCAAGTCCGCTTCATGCGCTACTTTGCTGACTCGCTTGATCTTCCAATTTGAGTAATGTGGATTTGTCGGCGCGGTAGGGACGCGAGTACTTGATCACAAAAGTCGACACAGACGCCAAGATCATTCTTGCAAAGCCATGCGCGACTCGCCTCAAGTACTACACGACGTGCCGCGACTTCACGGACGTCGACGTCATGACAACGTTCTTACCGTCGCTGGCGTATTCGTCGCAGGTGCACTTGGGTATCGCGCACTCGACGACGCACGTCGTGGGGTGCTACGCGCTGGAGAAGCGGACTCAACGCATCCTGCATCGGACGGATTTTTCACTCCCGCCCATGGAGTCCGAAGGACATGCCGTGTGGATGGACATCCCGGTCCATGTCGGAAACGTTGGCGAGCCACTTGCAGACTCCGAGCGCCATCCGACACGGGATGCTTTGCATGGCGTGAACCATTTGATCCTTGCCGTGAACCCACACTTTATGCTAGTCGACAGCAAAGACCTCGCGACGGAGCACGTGAGCCCGTTGGAAAAGCGCATCCGGTATGGACATCGTTCCGCTTTTCAAGCCTCCATCCGTCGTGACTACTAGACCGTTCCGTGTCATTGTGTACGAGACGTGCCAAGGCGGCATCGGGATCGTACAAAGGGTGGCGTCACTCTTTCCAGAGGTGACCAACTCCAACCGTCCTCCTTGGATGGGACTGCCTGTTGTCTGATACAGTTGGGGGACCACCTTGTGCGTAGATAGTCGCGTGCGCCAAGAGCATTTTGGATCAATGCGATTGTGTCGACGGTTGCCCCCGGTGTATTCACTCCCCCCATTGCTCGGAATTAAACAAGGCGGTATCGAAGCCCGGCGCCATCGCCATCTTGACATACATGGCAACCCAGCTGAATTGTTCAAAAGTGTAACAAGTCCTAGCGGTCGAGACATCGGGATCTTCTTCGGGTGCTGGGCGGGTCGTGGTCGCGGTGACTCCGTCGGCTGGAATGTGCCACGCCTCGCTTCGAGTCGCTGTGATCAGACGATCGTGATCGCCGCCGTCGCTTCGACTTGTCTGGCCTTTCGTCGCGGCGCCGACGATGATGGCGTCCCTCTTCTTCCTCAGAGTCGATATTCCCCCGCCGATGGCGTTTTTGCGATTTCTTGTCGTCATTCGATTTCGAATGACGCTCTGCGGCTTGACCTTCTCGAAATTGTGTAGAATTCACTACAACTATGATGAAGTTCCTGTTCGAAGTCGGCAGATCGACGCTGTCAAACCTGATGGAGATCGATATCGCAACGGTGGTGGGTCCACTTCGACGGGGTTTGCAAAGGGGTGCAGAAAGTTACAATCCCCACCACGCACGCATCGCTGCCGCACAAACAGACCACATATCGCGTCGGCCCAACTCTTGATGTGGGTGATTTCTGACAGCAGCTACGCCAAGAAGCCATCACTGGTTGCTCCATCCGCCAACAACACGCGACTGTTCCTTCGATCATACACTACGTCGTGGGTTTACCTGTTTCCCAGCGTACCAACGGCCACGCAGCGCAGCTTGGGCAGCTGCAGCCATCTCCGCCGTCTGGTATTCGACATAGACATTCCCTCGCAGGTGTGGCGCTATGTTACAGCAAGTCTATTGGGTTGCAGTCAATTGCTGGTAGAGCACGATGAACACCGAACATGAAGTTGCACGACGTGGCCGAGCTTGAGAAACTCCTGAATTGCGTCCAGGAAGAACGCTCGGTACGCCCGCCGCATTTCCAGTTCGTCTAACTGCACGCAAGAATGACGAAGCTAAAGAAATGTGAGAGTGGGAATATTCCTACCTCGAGGTGGTCATCACCGTCCTGGTGCGACTTGACGCCTATGGTGTGCATGCCCTGCGAAGTTGAGTTCACTTCGGAGTTGCCCAGAGGGCACGGACATACTGGAAACAGAACGAAGCGACCGCTTGTGGGTGGTGGAGCATGAACGCGACTGCATAGATCGCCAAATCGGCACACGCCAGTTCGAGTGTGAAAGCTGCACAAGATGCTCTTTTTCTATCACCAGAAGGTAATCAAGGATATGCAGGCGGATTTGAAGGCAAGATTTGCTGGAGATCACAGTCGCGCTGCGTTACCTGCTCGTCCGACAGGTTCTGAATGTTTTCTGCCCAGGCTTTGAGTTCCATCTATAACATTTATGAACATCGTGAGTCAGACCGTCCTCTGAGGGTGCTTGGGATGAGCCGACTTTGCCTGTCGTTTGGATTCTCTCGCAAGGGCCATGGCCTCTCGCTCCTCCTTCTCCTGCATCTCCTTTTCCAACGATTCTTGTTCCATTTGCTGTTTGATGTCGTCCATGAGAAGTCTTCGTTCTTCCAAGATTCGTTGTTTCTTCTTGAACTTTGCATCCGCTGCAGCTGTCGCTCGAAGCCACGTTTCGTGGCACACTTGCCGCGCCTCTTCTGCTTCCATCGCGATACGTTCAACTTCCTCAGGAGCCACATCCTCCTCGAGCTGTGCCTGGAGTTGCGCGTATAGTCGCCGTTTCCTGCGCTTCGCCAAGTTCTTCATGCGCGTCCTTCGGTTTGCACGTAGCAACATCGTGGTTTCAGCAATTGAAAAACGTGCGACAAAATCACGTTCAAATATATGGACGAAACTCTATACATTCTTCGAAGTAATATTAAAATAGTGAGCTCAATCGCTCATTAGCAGACAAAACGTAAACACGCATTTGATTGGTCAAAATTAATCGCAAAGCTTGCGGAGATTCCTGGGAAGACCCGTCAATGATGCGCGTCCTGTGTCCACTGAATGGTGCTGGGGTCGATGCCTTCCTGCACCATTTCCCACAGCGGGCTCATCTCACGCAGCCGGCCAACGTGCTTGACGCAGAGAGCGATGGCAAAATCCACTTCTTCTTCGGTCGTGAAGCGGCCCAATCCAAAACGAATCGACGTGTGCGCCAAATCTTCGCCGACGCCAATCGCACGAAGCACGTACGACGGCTCGAGCGACGCACTCGTGCACGCACTGCCACTCGACACAGCGATGTCCTTGAGCGCCATTAGCAAACTCTCGCCTTCAACGTACGCAAAGCTTAAGTTGACATTTCCCCAGTACCGTTGTTCCTTGTCGCCGTTCAAAATGACATGCGGAATCGCGTCATGAATGCCCTTCTGCAGCCGTTCCGCAAGATGCTGGACCCATTTGTGATCGTTCTCCATTTCACGTTGCGCCAACGCGCACGCTTCACCAAGGCCAACGCAGAGCGGGTGCGGCAACGTGCCACTACGCAGCCCACGTTCTTGACCACCACCCGACAAGATCGGTTCCAAGCGAACGCGAGGGCGGCGGCGAATGTACATGGCGCCGATACCCTTGGGGCCGTAAACCTTGTGACCGGAGATCGACATAGCGTCAATATTCATCGCGTCCACGTCGATGGGCAGCTTCCCCGCCATTTGGGCGGCATCCGTGTGGAAGAACACCTTGTGTTCGCGGCAAATGCGGCCGAGTTCCGCAAGCGGCTGCAGCACGCCAATCTCGTTGTTCACGGCAATCACCGACGCCAGCACTGTGTCGGGACGGATAGCAGCCTTGAATGCATCAATGTCGATCAGGCCGTTCGTTTGTACGGGGAGGTAGGTCACCTAGACAAGAACTCAACATGAGCAACGAAGAGCACCATGACACACCATGTACCTCAAAGCCTTCGCCTTCCAACGCGCGACACGAGTCTAGGACGCACTTGTGTTCAATTTGAGTTGTGATGACGTGCTTCTTCTTGGACTTGTAAAAGCGACCGATGCCTTTGATAATCGTGTTGTTCGATTCAGTCGCGCCAGACGTGAACATGATTTCCTTGGCGTCAGCGCCGATCAGATCCGCGACTTGACCACGCGCGTGTTCGACTGCCTTGTCCGCATCCCACCCGTAGCTATGCGTGCGCGAGTGCGGGTTGCCGTAGCTGTGCGTCAAATGTGGCATCATCTTGTCCAAAACGCGAGGGTCCAGAGGGGACGTCGCTTGGACATCCAAGTACGCGGCGCGACCCTCGGTGTTTTGCCCCTTGATCGAAAAGCCCGGCGAAAACACCTTGTCCGAATGCGCATTCTGCAGTACTGTTTCGGGCACTTCATTCACCGGTCTGTAGCGCTTGTCGTCGGCAGATGCCTTCGAGCTCAAGGCGCGCTGTAACGTCGCGGTAGAGCGGGCCCGGCGGGCGCCGGCACTTCGAAGCGCAGAGAGCATGTTGACCTGTGACGAGCTCTGGCCGATGAACACCACTGAACTTGACCACACACGGTGGAAACAGAGGGGGGTTCCACGGTTTTGATTGGCGGAACCCGGGGATTTGTTGGCCAATCACCGTGGTTGCCATGAGTTCGTTTTATACACGCGGCCCAAGATGCGCGTTAAATTGAGAACAGTGTTGGTCTATCAAATTACTGCCCTGTTGAGGGCCCAGGTTTGTGTTCCAGAATGACTAAAGATCGATATACTGCCACTTCATCGAACTTCCAGCGCAAGTCCGTGATGCGGCGGAGACGACGCGCGTGAGTTCGTCCTGGACATTGACCACGAGCGTCGCCCAAATCGCCTTCATTTACAACAGTCTTCCACAACAACGAAGCTGCATGACTGGTACCTGACAGCGACTGCCACCTGGCATCAACCAACCACGATTACTAGTACTACTCAGAGCAGTAGGAAGCTCAGGGTTATCTAGGCAAAATTCCCAAGAATTCCGGCCTGTTGCGAATTGATTTGTAGGACAATTCCTAATCTTAATGATGGATCACGGTTCGATTCACCCAGCGGATTCAAGCACGGAGCACCTCCCCAATTCACCCGGCGTCGGATACCTCCATCACACTCGGTGGCGAGGTCTCCTTCCAACAGCAGTGACCGACGGACGCCGGGCGTCGCCTTTGTCGATACCACGCCGCCACTGTCCTCGGCTTCCCACAAATGCGCGCTCTGCTGATGTCCTTAGGTCTCCTTGTCGGTAGAATCGTTGTTCACCTCCGCGAAATGGAGGACATGGTTTGTCGAGCTTCGCAGCTTCGATGGCACAGTGGATGTCGCCGGCACTCCAGAGATCACAATTCATAGCAAGGACGATCGGCGATTCAAAGTTACCTGGCAGTATTTGGCACACCGACACATGGCACGCTTTGTGGCGATGAAAAATGCTGTTCGCTTGGTTGGATCATTAGGCTTAATCATGTCGCACAAGTCGGAGGGCAGCAGAACGAAGCGAGCAAGCTTGGGACGCAGGGTCGGGCTTCACCCGCTTCAAGACGTACATCCATGGTGTGGCCTGGAGTAGGTGTGCATGAAGCAACTCTCGCGAGAGGCGTATTTGGGATCGATTCCCGTCGGTTCTGTTCGGATGGACGGCGACTGGCACCAGCAGGACCTCACTGCTGAATGCGCCATCGTCGGTGGCTGCATTCACCTGTTGTTTGGCAGCCCGGCCGTGTCGTGGACCAAGCCATGTGACAACTTGACCATGCGATCGTGAAAAGCGTCAATGCAGAGGTTTTAGGGCAAAGAGGGTAGTGCTCCCTGCACCTGGGTGGTCGTCCCAAGGCAGCACTAAACTGCCGCGAACATGTCCCGAGCCTCAGTACGGCGCAGCAATTTACAAACGACGTCGCAGTGTGGCTATTACAGCATCGGGTGCCCCCATCTATTTCGTTTCGCAACGCCACGTGCAAGGATGAGCATATCGAGTTCGGCAAGGTCGAACGGGTCCTGAATATTTGACTTGGCCCCGCTCCAAGACGTCGTTGGCATCGCGTTTGTGAACCACGTGAATGCCAATGTCATTGCTGCCATCGCGGCGTTTTCCAACTTCGTTGAGTTTCATCGACGTTGGAGTTTGGGTTGGGGCAGAGATGTTTTTCCATCCAGGGAACCATGCGACGGTCGACGTCGCAATGGGTACGCATATCCAAACAAAGGGCGCGGCATCCCTAGACGTAGAACGGCTGCTTCGTGCTCTTGTGTGTGCCCCCCCCAAATGATTTCAAGAGTGGCCGTGCGATAGAGCAACGCAGCAGGTCCCATCGAGGGTCATGCGTCGGCATCAAGTTTGCCCACGGCGTTTGCAACTTTGTTTGATTGGGCGTCGAGTTGGAATCGCTGTCGAGGCCACGGCGAAAGTCGCTCCGTGATGCATGACTGGATGCACGGTGCTCTTGGCATATTGATACACATCCAAAGAACCAGACGCTGCAAGATCCACCGGTGGACCGCCATGAAACTGCGTCGAGAGGTCGGGTGGGTTGAGCTGGGTTACCACTTCCATCACGGTCGTGCACCACGTCCGTCCGCAAGCCACTGCCGCTGCTGCCACCACCCGTGACCCTGCGTGCATGTGTCCATGAGTGACTTCTTCGTGAGTGGTCCATGCAGCGTCGTCGGCCGGTGCTCTGCTTCAGCGTAGCCATTCCTGACCGTTCGTTCGGTTGCAGTGTCCGAACCGCACAGGTGCAATCGTGCACTTTGCAGTTGGACGTCAAGGTGCAAACCTGCAAGGACCACCGACTCGGTGGCCGTGAACTCCATTGTCACTTTGACTTTTTCCATGTTGTCCGCGACGCGTTCCACGCTTCACGCCGTAAAGAATCGTCCAGAGACCCCTCGTCGCTGGCGTGCCGCGGTGCTTGCCGTCGTCGTCGTCGTCGTGGGGGCAAGTGCTGGCCTCGTTTGGATCGTAGCCATGAACTCGGGTCGATCACATGCCGCCCTCACATTCGACACAACCGCGGCTCGGTTCCACGCGCCGCCTGAATCCGTGGACGGGCTCGCCGATCGACCCCTCAGTGTGAGCTATGACTCGCATGAAGCATGGGTGCCTGGGAAGGTCGAGTCGCATTTCAAGCGCATCAAGGAGCGGTTCGCCGGTGTCCGCACGTTCCAAACCGCCGGCGTGGAAAACCACATCGACGTCGCGGCAATGGTGGGACTAAAAGTCTATGCCGGTGTGTGGATCCAAGGTGCTTCTACCAGCGTGGAGGCAGACATGCAAGCTGCTGTCGACGGAGCCCGACGTCACTCGTCGAACGTTGCTGCCATCTTCGTCGGCAACGAAGACTTGATGGACGGGAGGGTCACTGAGCAGTTCGTCGTAGCTCGGGTTCGCCAGATGAAAGGACTGCTCGCGAGTGCGGGATTGAAGATTCCAGTGGGCAGTGTGCAAACCGATGGAGACTGGCTCGACGCGCCAACGTTGGCGGCCGAGTGCGATGTCGTGGGGGTCAACATTCATCCGTTCTTCAGCGGAGCCGCTGACTCGGGGACCGAGCCGGTGCTGGACCTTGGTCGCCGGTGGACTGCCATGACACGTCGGTACCCGACGACAACGCTGGTGCTTACCGAGACGGGATGGCCGACCAGCGGCCGGCCATTCACCCACCACGTCCCGAGTTTGGCTCTTGCCGAAAAATACGCCAACGAAGTCGACTGGTGGGTTCGCCAAGGCAACGGGGGACACCTTCCCGCGTACTTTATGTTTCACGACAACCTGGGCAAATCGGATGATTTCGAGAGGTCGTTTGGGTTAGCATGGGCGTCGGGGGAGTGGAAGTTTGGCGGTGGCGAGGCGAACCCTGCGGCCGTCCCCGTCTCGAGCCCGCGACTCCATCCCTCTCCCCCTCTTGCGAACACAACGTCCGGGGTGTTTATCACGACGATCCAGGTGCCTCATACGATGGTTGCAGTGGTGTTGGCCGTCGTCCACTCGACTTACGATCCCCATGAACACCGCCAGCGACCCATCGAGTACGACCCGATTGCGTCGACGAGGCGCCAACTCGATTCCTATGCCCGGTGGACCTGTCGTGGTTCGTTGGTCGTGGCGTCTACCTCCGACGAGGTCGAGTTGTGTTTGGACGCGTACGAGCCGTGGAGTGGTGGTAACGTGCATGCGTACCCGTGCGATGCCCAAAACGTGAACCAGCTTTGGGCATACGATACAACGACGCGGCAATTGTCGCATCAGCGTCATCGCGGGTATTGCCTTGGCATTGTAAACAACGCTCCACGGTTGGCTCTGTGCACGGAGGGGGCGACTTTCGAGTTTGCTACGAATTTTTTGTTTATGCATGGCACGACGAGCACCACGGACTTAAAGCAGTCGCGCACGCAATGGCCACAAACGGACCGTCGTGGATTGTGCGTCTCCGCGACGCAGGGCGGCGTGAGAAATTCCAGCGCCAGTTCCGAGGCGTTCCCACGTGTTCCACGCACTCGACCGTGGATGTCTGCCTCGCTCCAGCCACACGTGCCCCTTGGCGGTATGACCAGCAGGGTGTAATTGCTTGATCTAGCCCCGCCCCTGTCCGGCCGCTCCCCGTGAATTTCGTCGTCGCTTCGACATTGCGCCAACGACAGGAACAGTCGCGGAACGCGCGCACCGCACACATATTGGCACGTCGCGTACATTGGCCAGTCGAACGAACCAAAGGAATATTCCTAGTAAATATATTTGTAGGAATACAAGTGGATACGACATGCAACATCAAACGCATGGGGAAAACGCCCGTTTTAGTCGACTATGCTCCCCATATGTACGATTCATGGGAATTGTCACAGTCGCCTTGGTATGTGGCAACGACACGGCCAACTCGGTGGAAGATGGGCAAGATATGTCCAGTGGATGGTTTCGGCAAGTGATCGGGCGGCAGCGCCATCACTTTCAAAGATGCCGCCGTCCGAGCTCCACACCACCCATGACACAAGCGCCGTTGTGACGTCGTCGTCGGCGATCGTGACGATTGCCCCGGACGTCGAGTACAAAGGTCCGATGGACACCACAGACTTAACCCACCGCCGTCGAAAGACGCGGCTCCTGCAGGCGTTGGCAGCAGGTTTGCTCGTGGTTGGCGCCGTCGTTGGGGCATTGATGATCTCGTCGTCGCTGCGGGAGATGGCCTCAGCAAAGGACATTGCCGTGTCCGCGGGCGGGAACGACGTCAGTGTGTGCTACGACTCGTACGACTCACGCAACATGCCCGACCACTTCCGGCGCATCAAGGAACGCTTTGGCGCCGTCCGTACGTTCCAAACACAAGGAGCGTTCAACCACATCGAAGTTGCGGCCCAATCAGGGCTCCAGATCTACGCTGGGATTTGGATTCAAAGCGGCAACATCGAGGGCGACATGGCGGCGGCAGTCTACGGCGCGAAAAAGTATCCAGGCACGGTCAAGGCGATCTTGGTCGGGAACGAAGAGCTCTTGATCGGTATCAGCGCGGGATTTGTTATCGAAAAGATCAATCGCATGAAGCAACTCCTTCGCGAAGCCGGCGTGTGGAATGTCCCCGTCGGGTCTGTCCAAACGGATGGAAGTTGGTTCGCCAACCCTGGCCTCGCGGATGCGTGCGACGTGATGGGAGTGAATATTCATCCGTTCTTCGGCGGCTCCGACGTATCTCGTTCGCGACCGATCGAGGACCTCAAGGTGCGCTGGCAAAACATCATCAACCGGTTCGGGTCGTACAAGAAGGTGGTCGTGACGGAAACGGGGTGGCCAACAAGCGGCGGTGCCGTCAACGGCCACGTGCCATCCTCCGACATTGCGCGGCAATTTATCAATGACATGCGGGACTGGGCAGCCGCCGGCAATGGCGGCGACATGCCCGCCTACTTTATGTTCCACGACAACCCGACCAAAAACATGGATTTCGAAAAAGCATTTGGGCTGGCGTGGTCGAACGGCGCATGGAAATTTGATTTCAACGGCGCGCAGCAACCGCGCCCGCCGTCGGAAATCAAGGGCGTCGTGTTCGTGAACAAGGCTAACGACAAGGTCCTGGCGGCTGCGCCGAACCGAGCCGTCGAGTTTCACGCGCGGTGGGGCAACGACTGGGTTTGGGACTGGGCGTCGCAATGGACGATCCGCGGCCCGCTCGTGGTGACTTGGGACGCGGCCAACAAAGTCGATTTGTGCCTGGACGCGTACCAGCCATGGAATGGCGGCGCCGTCCATCTGTGGCCATGCGATGCCAACAACGGCAACCAAAAGTGGGCGTACGACGGCAATACCAAGCAACTCCGCCACGCGACGCACAACGGGTTTTGCCTCGACATGGCCAACCCCGCGGGCGGCACCCCCCACTTGTGGTCGTGCCACGATCCGTGGGTGTCATGGGTGACGCTGCAACAGTTTGAATGGTGGACAAAGTAGTTTGTATAGCGCAAGTGTCGAAACTTCTGCTGTTAATGTGATCACAGTACCGTGTTTTCTCGCGTACCAACGCCTCCAAACAACAACCCTGGACGCATGCCCGGTACGTCTCCAGTGGTTGCCACAGATGAAACCACAGAAGATCGCAAAGTGCCATCATCGCAATGGTGCAACTCGTTCGTGCCGTCATGCTGGTCTCGGTCGCAATCGTGCCTCTACTTGACAGGGTACGCCCAACGGCCAGACCCTGCTCGCTCTCGCAGTCGTCGTGCCGTTCCAAGTCGCCCCAACGTCGTCCCGTCCTCACGTTGCAGCGTCGAAAGTCGACGACGATTCTGCGCAAAAAGCGTGTGCATCTTCTGGTAATGTATGTACATGCGAGGACGTTGCAAGGCTTGCAAGGTCTCGTGGCTGGCACGTCCTCGATTGCTGTCGCGGTGGCAGCCCTGTTGTCACATTTCCAGAAGTGGACATTACAACCCGACGACGCTCCGTGTAACCGCCCAAGCAACCAAGTGTATCAAATCACGTCACCACCACAGGATGTCGGATGGCCACCGGCGGCGTGCCAGTGGCGCTGCGGGCAGTACCAAGGGGCATGGGCTTGTCGCTATCAAGCGGGGGGGGGGCGGTGGCTGGGATGCCTTCTTTTGTGAAATCGTTCCGCAAGAGCGATCTGAACACTCCACGTGCCGAGCTGACGGCGGCATGCCGCCGAACGCTGGAAGGCACCACGTTCGCATGGCGCGATATCGTCATTCAACGAATGCCTCGACGAGGACTGTCGTTCCCTTGCGCTCTGGCACCGTCTGTGGAGCTCTGGCACCGTCTGTGGATCCTGTTCGTTGCTGCAAAGCACAAAAGATGTGACTTCGACGAAGTACGTGCGACGGAATGGAAGGGAGAAGAGTTGAATCGTGGGGTCAAGAGAGCTTCGCCTATCCAAGACATGGATGGCGCAAGAGGACCCCCACGGCCACGTCTAGCCACCGACAAGGTCCTGCACACGGGGCGAGCCTCAGTGCCTCTCGACATGAATACTTTGTCGTGTGGCCTGCCCTGGCATGGCCGTCGTCTCTACATGATCGAGCGTTCGTTTATGTCGCGAGTTTTGCTCCCAAAGTTGAATCTTTGGCCGTTCTCGACCCAACCGAGTTGGGGTTTCGCTTCGAATGCATTGCGCATCCCATCCATCGAAGGAATGATTCGGTCCAGAGGTGGCGGGTCGAGGGAGGGGCGGGCTTGCTCCTTTCGTCCCTTGTACAGATCAGTCGGCTGCACTTGTCATGGGCAAGGTGTAATGCTCTGCATCCATGGCTGCGCGGCTGCATAAACGACCCCCCACGACTTAGCTCGATTCAGCCCACAGCGACGGGATCGACTGGTGGTCGTGGCGTCCATTCATCGAACACGTCAAAGATCCGCCAGCAGCGAGAGCCGCGCGTGCGGGGAGATGGATTTGCATGGGTGGGACTTGGCGTTAGCTCACGCGGCGGATTGATACAAAACCGCCTCGACAGCGGCAGTGTCACACATCTGGCCTGGCTGGGAGTCGTGCGCGAGAGCGACGGCCCAAAACGCTTGCGCGGCTGACACACGCGCCATGCGCATGCTCATGCGCATGGCGCGGCCACCTGGACCAGACACGGTGGAGCCTCTGCATCGACCGATGCGCTGACTCTCCGCGTCCGTTCAGAAACCAGTGCGAACTGATTGCATGCCACCGGCAAGCACAGCACTGTCTCGATTCGATGCGATCTCGGGAACGCAACCGACGTCTCGGTCGCCCCTTCCTGCGGAGATTCGCGGTGGTGGAGGGGAATTCCCCATACAACCGATGCGTGGTGGTGGCGACGCGCCATCCGTATATGCAGGCTGGAACCAGGAATGACTGGAAGGCGGTGCGCTACCGCCGACGGGCTGTACCTGTGGAGCGTGAGCCAGGCAAGTACAAATGGCTGCCGTCGGCGTTCGTCTCGGGTGATCGCAACTGGCCGTGGGGGTATGTCGCCCATGCGTTTCGCTCTCAAGCTGCCAAACGTGAAACAAACAGGACATAATTTGGCAATTTGCGAAAAAGGAGCATTCATTTCCCTACACAACACATTTAAATATGGGCCATGACAGCCGATCTTCCCCACATACAATTGTCCAGATGAAAACGGCATGGAAAGTGGCAGATTGCACTCTATCCTGTGATTGCCGACTCTGTGGCGTACTTGGATCGTGGCCACCTTACAGGGGAAAAATCCCACCTCCCAACGCATCGAACCGCCCGACCACCCCACGATGGCGTTGTACCTGCCATCCTACAGGCAAGTGCACAGGACTCACACGATACCAAGACGATTCCAAAATCGCTGGTAAAAAAAGCCCCCTGCGACACAAGACAGCTCAAGTCAAGTAAAATCGACTCAAGCCATCCAGTGCGCAGAGGGCTATTTTATTCCAAGTCCGAGCCAACGCGAAGCATCAAACCGATCGAAGAAATTAAAATGCTCGCTACAAGCCATGCACCACTCGGGCAGCAAGTAGAAAAGTCACTTTAAGTGTAATGTATTATTATAGTCCCCACGATGGCGTTGAATACGGGGAAAAATCCTTGTGGTCCGTTTCGTCCTCGCCGATCAGGTGACACGACGGGCAGGTTATTATTAGAAATTCGAAGCGAGTTCGTGGCCCTTCAACATTTGGTGTGTGCCTCGCCATGTCCAGGCAATGAAGCGCTCCACTTTGCGATTTGCAGCTTGCCAAGCCACCAC